ATTTACAGAAAACGTTTGACCTGTGTCATTGCCAACAAAGGGTATATAACAAAGTATTGAGAAACTTTTGTTATTGACCAAATACTTATTTTCCACCATAATTTGCAAATAAATTCATAAAAAATCCTACAATGTGATTTTCTGGATTTTTTTTTCTCATTTTGTCTGTCATAGTTGACGTGTACCTATGATGAAAATTACAGGCCTCTCTCATCTTTTTAAGTGGGAGAACTTGCACAATTGGTGGCTGACTAAATACTTTTTTTCCCCACTGTAGGTACACTATCTCTTTAACACTAGCATTGCCAGGACTCGGCACAAACATGATGCCTTTGCAACGTCTACATTAATACTATTGGAGTCTTTTAGCTAACTAGTGATATGGTAATAACATGTAATTACACAAGTAGGTACTAGTCAGGCCAATGTAGGTCTAATGTTAAGTGTGCCCAGGTTCAAGTCAGGAACTATTAAGCTCTTTCTGATATTCTATGACTGAAGGACTTTTTTATTCAATGTCTCTCTCTCTGACACCAGTGGAGGCTGCTGAGGGGAGGACGGCTCATAATAATGTCTGGAATGGAGTAAATGGAAATCATGTGTTTGATGTATTTGATACCATTCCACTGATTCCGCTCCAGCCATTACCACGAGCTCATCCTCCCCAATAAGGGTACCACCAACCTCCTGTGTCTGACACATGTAACAGGGTGAAGATTGCCCTGTTACTAGGTAGTCATTTGCATTGTTGCTATTGTGTTGAATGTGCTCTGGGATTGATTATTTGTGTCTGCTTGCTTCCAGGTAAGGAGGTGATTGAGCACACCTGTGCCCCTTCTTACAAATGAGGAGGACATGGTGTGCTCTAGGCGCAAGCCAAACCAGGGAGAGGCAGTGGAATTGTTGTTGGACCATTTTGGTGAAGTATTTTGAAGTAACTAGGTATGGCAGCTTGGAGCCCAACAACATATTGCAAACCTTTTCATTGTTTTGTATTGTAGTTTTACATGTGTACTTTGCTTCCGCAAAGTACACAAAATAGCCCCATAACATCAAAGATCCACCACCATATTTTACAGTAGGTATAGGGTTATTTTCTGCTCATGCATTCTAATTTCGACTCCAAAACCACAACTGGTGTGCGTGACCAAAGAGCTCTATTTTAATGTCATATTAAAGCATCGATGCCAATGCCGTTTAGACAAACTCCAGGCATTTACATTTGTTGGATGACATGAAATTAGAGTTCTTTGGCCACATATGCAGGAATGGTCTAAGATCCCTCCCAATGTGTTCTCCAACTCAAACATTTTAGATAAAGACTCAGCGCCCTTATCCTCGCAGGGTGAGGTATTGAAAACAGGGATGTCAATCATTTTGACCCATACCTTTCTGAGAAATTTTGAGCGTACAATATAGCTAAGTATTTAAATTATTTTTGCTCGTCTTTTTCAAGGGTGTCAATTTCAGACCCGACTGTATCTATATTTTGAACATTTGGTGTAATCGATCTAGCTACTGTGTAACGGTAAGAAATGTGTGAACCACCTCAGCCTTTTGTGCTTCATTTAAATCTTTAATAACATTTAATAACCTTGTAATAAATTGGCGTGATCTGTTTCCTGACCATGTACTCAGTTAGTCTGAGTGTTTGTTGTACACACCTATACACAGCATTAACAAGCCCCTATCCATCCATTTATTTATTGACCTAGTTCTTATCCAAATGTTTAACATTTCAACCAGCATATTCTTTTTTTTTCTTTAATATTCACTCAAACACAATGGTTGGCTAAGTCATTGCTTGTGTGCTGATTTAAAAGTACCTGAAGCAGGGTGTCTCTAATCCAACAGGTCTTTTAGGAGTCACCTGGTCAGACAAATGGGGCCTTTCAAAGAAGTATAATGTGTTCTTAAATTATTTTATTGATGGGAAAGGGGATGGCCTCCACAGGTACCCATACAAACTGACTTAACACGCTGTGAAAGGGTCAATTTGGCCTCAATTTTCCATTTCTTCATTATCTGCATTTAGAGTCACACTGAGTGTCTCTATGGGGTTTCAAGAAACTTCAGCCCTGCCTGCATTTAGCATTTCATCTAGCTGCTTCACAGTGGACTAGTAAGTTGTTGTTAATTGCTTTTGATAGTGCAATAGGCGATAAGGGAGGTTTGTGCAGGTTGCAACTGTGCACGAAGGCACTTATTGTTTAAAAACCAATGGAAGCTCTTTCAATGGCTTTCCGTGTTCAGAGTTTGCTTAGATTTTTTCATATTTACAGGAGGACATGTACTTATGCTAACTAGTATGACAACTAGTTATTGGAATACTATATATGCCCATTACTCATACATTACAATACTTAAAGTGGTAATATTGAGCGATTTGGCAATCTTGTTTTAAGAGGGGAAACTGAGAATAATGTGGATATTGTGTCTGTGGTTTCAACCAATATTTTGTCTAAATAAATTACCACATCCATACTTGTACTATGTCGTCCAAATGAATGTAGAAATGCTACCTGGTTTTGTGCTTATAATTATGCCAACTCATTCCCCTTTGTTCCACTGCTAAACATATTTCATAAGGAAAAGCAACAGATGAAGTAAGCAATGAGCTTTTTGCTCATATCAAGCCACACATTATGTGAACCTAGGAAGACTGGGCTACAGAGAAACCCCACTGTAAAACAAAATAGGTGAGTTGAAATGATCATTGGCATGCTGTCTAACAAAGTCTGCCAATCCATCTGAATTTAACCATCTGGGTTTTAGACTAGCCACACTGCTTACTATTTCCCTGCCATGCTGTCCACGGCAAACAAAACCACTCAAAGAAAGAGCCCCATGCGGTGCCCACAATACAACACCAGCCTGAATCCCACCTCAGAAAAAGAATTGCCTAATGATTTAAAGGAAAATGCAGAACAGGTGTGTAACACGTTTAAAATAAACCATCAACTGTGCTTGGGCAAAAAATGTAGGTTCGCTAATTGCATTGATGCTTGGGTGACCCCAGCTTAAGTACATGAAAGCCTACTTGACAGGCTAAATTGCATTGGCATTAACATTTTAAAGGTCCTATGCGGGCACTCTGCTTTAATATAGCCGCCCAACATTTGTAAATGACTCCTCTTTTCGACTCCATTAGGAAGTTGAGCGACGCGCGGAACATTTCATCATAGGATTCAGAGTCAATAGGCATGTAATCAGGAAGTCCAGAGTATGCCATCGCCACTGAAGGGGATAATTAAAAAGATTGCCTTATGATCTGGCTAATTACTTTGCTGACTGTTGGCCCCGATTCTCCCCAAAGTGGCACATTTGTTCTTTAGCCGCCATCATTTCGTGATTGACGGAGGAGGAACGGGGAGAGGGGGGCTGGGGAAAAAAAACTAAAGTAAATGCACACTCAATTATGCACTAACTGCGGGTTCCATTTACTAACGCAAAACAAGTTGTTAATTAATGTGGGTGATGATTAAGCTGTTTTACAAGGGAAAGTCAGAGTGCAGTGGCACTAACAAGCCTCTTATATCGAGGACTGCAAAAACAACATGACAAAAAGTGAGCCTCTAAAAGCTACTACTGTAACTGCTTCATAAAGCATTGATAATAACTTATAATGTGTGGAATAAATGTTAAATTCAATTTCAAAAGTATTTTCTTTCTTGAGAAACGTTTATTTAGCATGTTTCATGTGTTATACATTAGTACATGGTAACTTACTGTATTGTTTCATTACACAAATTTTTTTATTATTAGAAATTATTGTGCATAATACTATCAGACATAAGGTAACTTTTTACATTTTGAAAGAAGTGTAATTTTACTGAAGCCATATAAAAAATGTAAATGGCAATACACAGGTAACTGCTAAAATAATGGAAACACTTGAGTAAATGAGGGACTCCCTCCGATAGAGTTCCAGACACTTGTAGAATATTTACCAAGGTGCATTGAAGCTGTTCTGGCTCGTGGTGGCCCAACACCCTATTAACACACTTTATGTTGGTGTTTCCTTTATTTTGGCAGTTACCTGTAGATGTACCATGTGGTGGGCCCCAAATGGAGCAGCCTCAGCACACATGTTGAAGGTGACAAAACACTTGTTTCACTTAACCCCTCCTCCACCACCATTTGTCTAGCCTGTTTGCTGATCTGCTTAACAGCGAGACTGGAAAGAGTGAGGGGGCTTTAGGCTAAGCTAAAGGTGCTGGCGGGAGGCAGGAAGGAGTGGCATAGTCAGGCTTTTCCCCCCAGGTTCTCTCACCAATTCAGGGGTAATCCTCCCAACGTGAGCCCTTGTACTTCCCTGGGTCTTGGTCATCCTGGTTGTCCTGGTTGTGAATACGGAAGGGGTTGGGAGGGGGGCATGTTTGCGTAGTTGCTTATACACATGTACATTCTGGGGAAGATCAACCCCCATCCACCCCCTCAGTAGGGGCAGAGTCACATACAAAACAGCCCCCCTGTCAATGGATATGTCTCTGCTGACCCGTGACGACCTCGCCATTCTGAAGGCAACAAAGGTGGGAGTGAAAGAGGCATGAGATCACACACATTTAAATCAACTGGGTGGGTGCTCTCATTCACTCAATCCCCACCGGAGTGAATACTGACAATATGCCAGTTGTGTGCCTGCCACTATTATAAAGTGATGGGGCGGATATAGTGACGGGTATATAACAAGTGATTAGGATAAGTGTTGCTATTCGTATCACTATTTAGGAGAGTTGGTATGTCATCAACTTCTGTGGTTGTTTTCATTGAAGGCAATCATAATACTTAGGCTACCATATACAATTTGGACACAAGCCTAATGAAGGATGGCATCGAGTTGTGCATTATAGCATCTCAAACCACAAGTGTTTTTGTTTCACGTATACAACAAATCTAAAGTGGATGAGAGCAGTTGACTCTTTTTTCACACAGTGAGAGAGTGCTTGGGGAGCAGCGGCCAGCGGGTCCCGTCGTGTGAGCAGAAAGAGAGGTGATCCATGGCTGTCTGGCGCCCTGCTGAAACGGGGCTGCCGGTGAGCTGCCCTAAGCCCCCTCGCCCCTCTCTCCTCGGTCCCATCCCTGTGGATTAAGTGGTGCTCTCTCCCTTGCTCCCTCCCTTTCCAGGGCTGGGAAACTCCTCACTTCCCCAGATGAGGCGGCGACCTCCTTTTTCTTCTTGCTCACTTAAGGGGAGCAAATGACCAGCGAGAACTCAATTAGCAACATGTCTCCCCCACGGCTGGGGGTCGATGCAGAGGCTTGTTCCAGGAGGCCTCGGAGATCAGCTTGGTCATGCAGAGCGACAGGGAAATAGAGAGAGAGTGGCATCTGCCCCAACACAGATTTGCTTAATTGAGTTTGGCTCTTACAATTACAGGGTAATAATGCCTTTTGAATAGTGCGGGTGAAAGGCTTGCAGCCCGGGCAGTTGCACTGTACTCCCATGTGTCGTCAGCTGGCCCGGGTTAGCCAGTGACAGACACAGAGAGAGAGGGGAATTGCCAGTGGACTTTGGTTAAGCAGTGTTTATTGAGTCCTTGATAGGACCCCATGAGACCGCAGGATCAACAATGGCAGAATTAATGGGCAAGGCACGATGAGAATGTCAGCGCCACGGGGGGCGTGTGTGGCCTTTGAGCCTGCCTCCACCGCCAATACGATGGCGCTCTCCCAAAGCGCTTTGACAAGGCTTGACCTGTTTGTTTGTGTGTTTACTTGTTTGTTTTCAATGCATAAGTCGCTGTATTGGGTTTACAATTGCTCTCAGTTTGGGTTATTTGGTCGCTTACCCAGTGACTGGCACATCGAGGTCATCTTTTGAATGACAAAATATTGGTACATAGTATTTTATCAAATGTAGTTAAATATTAGTGATATCATTGATTTGGCTTGGTATAATAAGAACACCATTTTGAAACCATGTATTTACTGATCGTTAAAAAATAAATACATTATTAAGATGTTTATCTGACCAAGTGATCTTCCAAATTGTACATAACTTCTAGGTATATTACACAGCCTCCTGGCCTAAACTGATCTAAACCAAACTACTGAAAGTGGTTCCATGAACACATTCCCGGTCTTTGAAAATGTCTTTTTTTTGTATTATTATAAAAAATGACTATAACAGGTCTATGAGAACATGTACATAACATAAGCCTTGTTCCTCATTGGTTTAATTCTAGACTCCATAATCCAAGATTAGTCTGTCCAAGGAACACACACAGTATCAAGATGTTTACTACTGTAATATTTAGTTTTCTCACTAAAGAAGGGTATAGATGCATATTGGAAGGGAATTATGCATTAAAAATGTAGAAGGGAATAAAAACATTTAAGAAAAAGGGTGTCATATGATGTGTGAAGACGACAAAAACATTTGTTCCAAACAAAGTACATTCTTATGGTAATATTTTTCTGAAATGACTCAGAGGTAATAAACTATAAATGAAAGGAGAGTGTTTTACGCACAGCCGTCTTAGCACAGGAGCTGAACATAAAAGAACTGTAGAATAAAATAATGTCCGCTCACTGTTTGCCATTCTCACAAGGGAACTTAAAATAGAGCTTTTAGTGAGATAAGAATACAGACTATGTCGGTCAAAATTGTCTCACTAAAAGCTTTATGAAAATTACTTTATTATTCAATAGAACCATCAAGCCATCACTTGAACTCTGCTCACTCCTATATTCAAGGTTCCTTATTCACAGCCCATATGTTTACACACATTTATTAAAGGGATAGTTCAGCCAAAGTACATATTTGTTGCCTTTCCATAATAGTTTGTAGGACAAACCGTTCGGACGCTACAGACGATTTTGTGAGAAGCCCAATTTTCGGTATGTCTCATGGTCCGACAAACACCACTCTAGCTCTGTCACCTTTCACTGCTGATGGAGGGTCAGGGAAATCCCAAATAGATAGATTCCAGATGTCCGTCAGCTAGCGCGCTAGCACAAAGCCAAGATGGAAAGGGTTACAAAACTCCCATAGCCTACTCCACAGAAAACATGCCGAAAAGTTGACACAACAAAAAGGAGAACAGACAAGATAGTACAAAATTAGAGCAAGCAGGTGTGATTTTCTCTTTTGTTTGAGCCCACAGGAAGAAGTCACCAGAGCCTGCTATGCTAACGGTTCCCACTAGACAACACAGCCACAAAGTCTGTGACGAGTATGCTTGGTCTGGAATGTAATTACATGCTAGCATGGCTAGTGGATAACGTTAGCCAGCTTGAGCTAGCTACCAAGCTAGCATACGAACTCGGTAGCACAGAGTAGATCCTCCATATGACGTTGAGAAATAGTGCATTGTGGGTAGTTCAGAAGATATCTGGAAATAAGTTAATAAATATATAATAACCCAAAAACATAACTATGTTTGTTCTTATAGGTAACCAGATTGTGACTACAACTAAGCCTTTGACCACACTGTGTTTTTACATAGGTGAGTAAAAACTCATGCTTCCTACCCTTTAAAGCATCCACCTATCAATCATTATTAGGCCTAATGATGTCCCCATTTTGACACTCCAGAATCAGTGTGGGCAAATAGCCCTAGGAAGAGGAGCAACATGGAGCGAGATAGCTTTTCTCTGATATAATTTGAGGCCATAATAATGTGCGAAGTCAAGCTTGGTGAGGGAGAAAATAGAAGAATGTAGGGCTGTGTGCCACCCTAATGGATAACCTTGTAGTCGGGAGAAAATGGGACCCAATAATGTCTCCTTAATGTTCGCAGCGGTGTTTCAGGGAACGTATCAGGAGAAATGTCCCCTGTCATTTCTGCAAGCAATCACTTAATGGGACCAGCAAATGTTGACAAAATGGACATGCACTGAGCTATTTCTGGGCTTGACAGAGGGAATGAATCTTTGGCTCTTGCAAGGGGGAAAATAGATAGAGACGGAGAAAAGAAAAGGAAACAAGCAACGGGAGAAAAAAGGAAAAACAAAAACCTCTCACGATCCATTTGCCTCCGGTGTGTGTATGTTTGTGTGCCGCTAAAGTGCAGACAGTGACAGGAATTTCAATTATTTCATTAGGGGGGAAATGAAAAGACTTAAGTGTTGTGATTTCTGCAGTCTTTCATAGATCAATCTAATGTGCGCTCGCATTGGAAATCAACCAAAATGGAAGAGGGAGAGTGAAGCAGCGTCTCCTTAAATCACGCAATTAAAATGGCAAATTAGTTTCTTGATATATTCATTTAAGTGGTTAAGTGGAAGGGTTTATCTCTCCATCCGCGGCGCTGTCTAGCAGGATGGGGGGGAGCATCGTCTGCATGCTCTTTTGATTAAAGCCACCACTTAAATGCTGAGGAAAACGCTGAAAGCACTTGCCGTCCAAATTAGCCATCCGAAGGCTTCAAAATCCAATTCGAAAGAGTTGATTTAAGCATTTAAGCAGAATACGGCTGGCAACTTAAAGGATTCAGAAACATTTTCCCGGCTGCAATCAACAGCTTTTAGAGGTCATGGCTAGCATAGGGGTTTGGTGGTTTGTCATCATCCAAGAGCAATGCAAAGTGAGGACAGTGAATATAGAGTGAAGTTAAGTCATTTAATATGTATTCCCACCTCTGTATAATAAGGTCAATATAATATCATCATAGCCTTTAAAATCTATTTGATAACAATAGAATATTAGGCTTTATTCCCTGGTAATTGTATAAGCCTACACTGAATACATTTTCTGTTTACAAAAATGTAACATCATCCAATGTTGTAATAAACAGTGCCTGTGTGTCACTTCCTATGTTTTCGCATCAATGAGCAGTACATAATATTGTTGTGATAAAGGCTGCAGCATGTTACCCGTAGTTGTCATCATCCGGAAGAGAAAAAAGCCCAAGAAAATCTGATACATGCAAAGTACACTGCGCAAAATGATTTGTAGTCTCAACTAACTAGTTCACTTTTTAAAAAGTTTAGTCAACTTAAATGTTAAATTATCCCAATTTACACTAAATCTATATTGATTCATTAAAGATAGTTAGGGCAACTTAACATTTTGTCGGTATAAAAAAGAAGGAGCTCGAAAGATGGGAGTGATGTTGACCCTGGGCCCGGATTCACAAAAACATATCTTTCCTTAAGTTTATACTTAATGTTCTTATGAAAAAAGTTACAAAGAAATGTGATTCTTGAAAATAATGTTATTGGATTTCTTCTTGGAAATGTTCGTAATTCCAAGATAGCTTGTCTTAAACTCAGGGCAGTGAGAGAATAAGCCAATGAAAGACATTGAACATGTTTAATTCACTCACAAACTTCATCTGAAAGTTTCAGTATTGATTGTTTTAAACCCAAGAACATGTTTTAGAACAGTAATCTCAGTAATAAATATGCTAGCATGATTGCCATTACCAGCTAGATAGCTAACTAGATCGGTTGCCTAGCGACAATCATCTTAAGAAGATAGTTAAGAAGTTGGTAAGAAGCTATTTGAGAAGTTCATAAGAAAAACATGAACATATATTGTTGAGGAATTGCACTTATTAACTTATTAATTTTTTTCTTAAGAAGCTTCTTAAGTTTTTGTGTAAGAAGTGTTTTGTGAATCGGGGCCCAGTCCTGTATGGACACCGTGGCCAGGAGGCTCTATGTCAAGTGCCAGTAGAATGGCCAATGGTGATTTACAGACAGACTGGTCAGACCAGGGAAGTATATGGCTGGTGATGTTAGGCAGAGGGAGGCAAGCCAAAAGACTACGCAACAAGAGGAGATACAAGCCAATGGCATCGTAATGGACATGTGAATGTAACTCTCAGTCAAAGAAATATAATTTCTAATTTCTCATGAAACCATTAATGTTATGAACCTCTCTTTAAACATTTTGTTTGCTAGTTCGCCAGCTTGCATAAATGTGTGCTTTCCATAACAACATTAATCTGTCAAAAGCAAGATGGATTTGTAGAAGATGGATTTTCTCTTCCAGCACAGAGGCATATTGTCCACTTTGATGGTGCAGGATGATATCAAATACCCTCCTGGTTGCCGAGTTGAAATGAAAGAAAAATAGGCAGGGGTCTATAAAAATGAAGTTGGAAGTAAGTACGCCACTCACATCTATGGGGGGGAGAAATCCTTTTCCCAGGACATTTTGTAGTCGTCAATTGGTCTGTGCAACTTGCTGTAATGCAGGTAATGGAGCTACTCTTCTCCTTTCATCTTCAGGGCGAGTGTGTGCTGAGGCGAGGGAAGGCCCAACAGGAGAGGCAGATCAGTCGTAATGGACATGCATGGATATATGTGGGAAAAACAAACCCTTATTCTAAAAAGAACAATCAACTAGCCTAGCTAGTTTGTGTTTGTTTGTAATCTCTCATGATGGTGAATGATACAGAGGAAATGTGCTTTGATGCTGGGGGCAGTTTGTATCTTTTCGATGCAGAGTTACCGGATTATTTATTGATTCTCTCACTTGGGGAGAGCTTCAGTGGTTGAGGAGAGCGATATAGCAATCTGATGCTTTTTCTCTTCTTTTTAAGAGTACAATTTAAAGAAATGTGCATTAAAGGCACAGTGCAGTCAAAAACATGATTTTCCTGTGTTTTATATACATTTCCACAATATGAGGTTGGAATGATACTGTGAAGTTGTGAAAATTGTGATAATGCCCTTTTAGTGTAAGAGCTGTTTGAAAAGACCGCCTGAAATGTCAGCCTGTTTTGGTGGGATGGAGTTTTGGCCTTCCATGTTATGAACACCAGGCAGTAAATTACTTAATGAATAGATCAATAAGAAAGAGAGTTCCAAACCTCTCTGCCAATAACAGCTAGTTATCAGGCTGACACTTGGCCACAAGTGGATCTTCCAGCATGACAATAACCCCAAACACTAATCAAAATGGGTTTGAATTGAAGAGGGTAGTCCATAAGCACAGAAGAAGGATATCAAGGATCTGGAAAGATTCTGTATTGGTCTAAATCAAATCAAATCAAATGTTATTTGTCACATACGCCGAATACAACAGATGTAGACCTTACAGTTAAATGCTTACTTACAAGCCCTTAACCAACAATGCAGTTTTAAGAAATATATATATATTTTTAATTAAAAATACAATATAAAATAATACGAAATAAAAGTAACAAATTATTTTAAGATCCCTCCCAACGTGTTATCCAAACTCACTTTTGAAAAAGGTTCAGCGTCATTATCCCGGCAAGGGAAAGGTGCTAGTGTATTTGACCCCTATCTTCTTTTGATATTTTTGTATTACTTGTTAAACAAAATCTCTTTCTCTAAGCAATTGTATTAGTATAAAATAATATAATATCCCAATTTGTTTAGCATACAATATAGCTCAGTATTTGTATCATTTATTTTATAGTCTTTTTGGCTCATCTTAATCAAGGATGCAAATAATTAGAACCGATCATGGGAAACTCTCCTATAGAGTATGTCTGGAAATTGTGAGTATGCCTCACAAAAGGATATGAGTACCTCTTACAGCTTGTATCTATAAACAAATACCTTTTAATAAAAAATGGGACAAGGAAAGACTCAGAAAATAATAATTGGGAGAATATTTGCTAAATTTCCTGTGACTTTGTTTGTTTTGGAAATTAAAATAAGCACTACTGGTTGAGGCAGAGTCTCTGATTTAACGCCTGGCCTGCTCTCCACTATAGCTGCTTCAGCCCTTCACTTTCAATCAAAACCATCCAGTCATCAGTATTACTTCAACCTGCCAGCTTTAGACATTTCTGTTTTTTCAGCAGATTCCCAAACGACAAAACTAGTCCCCGCTGATTGGCTAGCTCTCCGCCGGTCCCTTTGTCTGCCCTCTCCGTTTGTTCTATCCCCCATTTCCCTATTCACCGACTCAAACGTTAGCGCTAGTAGCCTGCTGGAAATCTGCCTGTCTTGGCATTATAGGGGCCTTGTTGTATTTTGTCAGGCAACCCGACTTTAATACAGAGTCACTTAGTCTTCATAAAAGGGGTCAATAAAGGTAAGCTCGTCAGCGTGTGGTTGAATTGATGCAATAATGACATCTTGGAAATAATTATTTGGTGTGTTTATGTGTGACAGTCAAGCTCTAATTCTTTCCAGTATAAATGTAGACTTATATTCTAAATATTCAAATTAATGACTATACAACATAAGTTAATGAATATATAAATGTACATGTTGATATCACCAACTTGCATTGATAAAATCGGCACATGCTATCTGCTGTATTGGAAAAATAGCAATAAAATAATTTGTGTTTGGGAATATTCTGGTTATTGAACCACTGTGAGAAATATTTACCAGATGTTTAGCCTATAGAATCAGTTACAGACCTTTGTAAAATCCCCACCAAATTATTAACAGCCATTTTTTTGGTGTAAATGGGGTATGGATGGAATAGTAGGGTATGGTGGACTTAATCCATATGGGTGACACCAAAAACAACTAGGTTGCCCTCTTCTGGCGAGTGTAAAACTGAGAGTTGATTGATAGGAGTTTCTATGGCAAATTAGGTTCTGCTCTCACAGTAAGAGGAAACGTGGAGCTGTATTTGAGAGGGATGACAAATTTAATGTCAATGTATTTTACAAATTCTACTAATAAAACAACAATACATAGAGCCACAAAAAAATCTGCATTAAAATGTGGATATACTATATTTGCAAGGTTTATAAAATTTTTTTACCTGACATAACCTGCCATGTAAATCTATTGAATTTGAAATAAATGGGGAAACTTAAATGAGAACGAACAGTGTTTGGTAGAAGATATTGTTTTCAGGTGGAACAAGTAGACAATACATGTATCAAATATCAAAGTTATCCTGGGCAGATGCCCTGAGTGAAGCTCGATAATATAAAAGGTGCCTGTGAGGGCCCATCCTTTCCCACTGATCTCCCAGAGAACAAAGTGGACCTCATAGTAGACCCATGCCTGCGACCCCTCGGCTCAATCCAGTGGAAATTATGTGTACATTACAATGCAATTACCGACACTTTGGCCCTCTCTCCCTCAAGTGCGTGTGTATGTTGAGAGGGGGCCGCAGCTGACCCCCGTAGGCAAAGTGACCTCATACTCATCAGTGTGTGTGTGTGTGTGTGTGTGTGTGTGTGTGTGTGTGTGTGTGTGTGTGTGTGTGTGTGTGTGTGTGTGTGTGTGTGTGTGTGTTCACGTGTGTGCATTTGTGTTTCTGTCTGCAGGTGCAGGATGTACAGCTTCATGGGCGGAGGGCTGTTCTGTGCAGGCGTGGGGAACATCCTCCTGATTGTTTCCACGGCAACCGATTATTGGATTCAGTACCGGCACTCCAACAACTACATGCATCAGGGCCTGTGGCGGTACTGCATGCCAGGGAAATGCTTCACACACAACGACAGTATTGGTGAGGACTATGGCCAGTGCACACAATGCTGTCATAACACTGTCATAACACTGTCATAACACCCAACACATGTCATAACTGTTCATAACAAGCCCTAACAAATGTATGAGAGGTGCAATTTTCATTTTATGTGCCATGTCAGTGGTACAGCTCATCACTTAAGAATCACGATATGTTGTGATCGAAGCTATGTCAATCACACCACAGCTGCTTATAAAAAGGCAAAGTCCAGGAAGCAAGGTGTAACCCGAAAACCCCCAGAAAGGATTGATTAGAACTTCCATTGACTACAACCATTTTAATTGGTGATTTTGGCACAAAATAGTTATTATCCTAGTCACAGCATGAGCATCAAGGCATGCTTTCCATAATAAGATTCATATTTGCCAAGCACAATCCAAATGTGTTATCAATATGGGTAGTTTGTCAGGTCAGAACAGGCCAGGGTCAGCCTCTCTTGTACACTGACAACCCCTGTTAACCTTTGACCCCCTGCAGCCCACTTGGATGCCACCCGAGCACTCATGATCCTCTCCCTCTTGGCCTGTTTCATTGGCATCATCATTGGCATCATGGCCTTCATCCACTACTCGTCCTTCGACAGGTTTGACAAAACCTTTGCTGCAGGCATATTGTTCTTCATCTCATGTAAGTTCGGTTAATTAACTTATTTCACTTATTTTACACATTTTACTGCTTGATTTTCTTTCCATGTCAACTGTTGTAACTGTATGAGAAGTGATGTAATGTTGTTGTCCTTATTTTATGATCTATGCAGTACTTTGTTGGATGATGAATACAATTTTAGTTAAGATTATGTCTTTTCAAAGATTTTGTTAATCGAATGGTATCAAATTGTTTTTATGAACCACTTAACTTAAACCCAACACAGGCAAAATTAATAATGATGTTATTTGGTTTAAATCTGTTTCTGGTTGAAGCAACGTCATGACTATAAAAAGCAAATATTTTGGTTGTTATCTGGGTAGTTTTGTCCACTATGCAAAATCTCATAAATTTGGTGTAATTTATTTTTACTTTTATTATGGTTGCCTAAATGATACGTAAAAATAAATAAAAATTATATCAGTATACAGTGAGGGAAAAACATATTGGATCCCCTGCTGATTTTGTACGTTTGCCCACTGACAAAGAAATAATCAGTGTATAATTTTAATGGTAGGTTTATTTGAACAGTGAGAGGCAGAATAACAACAAAAAACTCCAGAAAAACGCATGTCAAAAATGTTATAAATTGATTTGCATTTTAATGAGGGAAATAAGTATTTGACTCCCTCTCAATCAGAAAGGTTTTTGGCTCCCAGGTGTCTTTTATACAGGTAACGAGCTGAGATTAGGAGCACACTCGTAAAGGGAGTGCTCCTAATCTCAGTTTGTTACCTGTATAAAAGACACCTGTCCACAGAAGCAATCAATCAATCAGATTCCAAACTCTCCACCATGGCCAATACCAAAGAGCTCTCCAAGGATGTCAGGGACAAGATTGTAGACCTACACAAGGCTGGAATGGGCTACAAGACCATCGCCAAGCAGCTTGGTGAGAAGGTGACAACAGTTGTTGCGATTATTCGCAAATGGAAGAAACACAAAATAACTGTCAATGTCCCTCGGCCTGGGGCTCCATGCAAGATCTCACCTCGTGGAGTTGCAATGATCATGAGAACAGTGAGGAATCAGCCCAGAACTACATGGGAGGATCTTGTCAATGATCTCAAGGCAGCTGGGACCATAGTCACCAAGAAAACAATTGGTAACACACTACGCCGTGAAGGACTGAAATCCTGCAGCGCCCACAAGGTCCCCCTGCTCAAGAAAGCACATATACAGGCCCGTCTGAAGTTTGCCAATGAACATCTGAATGATTCAGAGGAGAACTGGGTGAAAGTGTTGTGGTTAGATGAGACCAAAATAGAGCTCTTTGCCATCAACTCAACTCGCTGTGTTTGGAGGAGGAGGAATGCTGCCTATGACCCCAAGAACACCATCCCCACTGTCAAACATGGAGGTGGAAACATTATGCTTTGGGGGTGTTTTTCTGCTAGTGGACAGGACAACTTCACCGCATCAAAGGGACGATGGATGGGGCCATGTACCGTCAAATTTTGGGTGAGAACCTCCTTCCCTCAACCAGGGCATTGAAAATGGGTCGTGGATGGGTATTCCAGCATGACAATGACCCAAAACACACGGCCAAGGCAACAAAGGAGTGGCTCAAGAAGAAGCACATTAAGGTCCTGGAGTGGCCTAGCCAGTCTCCAGACCTTAATCCCATAGAAAATCTGTGGAGGGAGCTGAAGGTTCGAGTTGCCAAACGTCAGCCTCGAAACCTTAATGACTTGGAGAAGATCTGCAAGAGGAGTAGGACAAAATCCCTCCTGAGATGTGTGCAAACCTGGTGGCCAACTACAAGAAACGTCTGACCTCTGTGATTGCCAACAAGGGTTTTGCCACCAAGTACTAAGTCATGTTTTGCAGAGGGGTCAAATGCTTATTTCCCTTATTAAAATGCAAATCAATTTATAACATTTTTGACATGCGTTTTTCTGGATTTTTTTGTTGTAATTCTGTCTCTCACTGTTCAATTAAACCTACCATTAAAATTATAGACTGATCATGTCTTTGTCAGTGGGCAAACGTACAAAATCAGCAGGGGATCAAATACTTTTTTCCCTCACTGTACTACCAGACCATGACGTCATAGCCAGACCATTACATTGTGATGTATTTGCAGGAACATGCATCCCAGACATGCTAAACTCTCACCATTACCAATAACAAGGGAGGTTAGCATTTTTGGGGGGAGTATGATATTTATGCCTCTGTAACTTTCTCAATCATAATTATTCATTTAGGATTATCCATAATTATGGTAGCAGCCACATTAATGTAGAAGTGTTCCGAAATATATTATATTCTTATTTACAATAAAAGTGTCTCCAAAATGGCACAATACATTATTTACCATTAATTTCTATTGGGCACAGAATAATCTGAAACACAACCAAAACCAACTGCAAATGCATCCAACAGGTTTGTAGAGTCACAAGCTTGATGTAGTCATACCAAATACTAAATTTTTGACTACTTTAATACAGTGCCTTCAGAAAGTATTCAAACCTCTTAACTTGTGTTGTGTTACAGCCTGAATTAAAAATGGATTAAATTGATTTTATTTCTCACCCATCTACACATAACGACAAAGTGAAAACATGTTTTTAGAAATTGTTGCACATTTAATGAAAATGAAATGCAGAAATCTCATTGACATAAGTATTCACACCCCTGAGCCAATACTTTGTAGAAGCACCTTTGGCAGTGATTACAGCGGTGAGTCTTTCTGGGTAAGTCTCTAAGAGCTTTCCACACCTGGATTGTGCAACACTTTATTATTTTCTAAATTATTCAAGCTCTCTCAAATTGGATGTTGATCATTGCTAGACAACCATTTTCAGGTCTTGCAATAGATTTTCAATTAGATTTAAGTCAAAACTGTAACTTGGCCATTCAGGAACATTCACTGTATTCTTGGTAAGAAACTCCAGTGTAGATTTTGTCTTGTGTTTTAGGTTATTGTCTTGCTGAAAGGTGAATTAATCTCCTAGTGTCTGGTGGAAAGCAGACTGAACCAGGTTTTCCTCTAGGATTTTGCCTGTGCAAAATTCCGTTCCATCTTTTTTTGTCCTGAAAGACTCCCCAGTCCTTAACAATTACAAGCATACCGATAATATGACGCAGCCACCACTATGTTTGAAAATATGGAGAGCGGTACTCAGTAATGTGTTGTATTGGATTTGCCCCAAACATACCACTTTGTATTCAGGACAAAAAGTGAATTGCTTAGCCACATTTTTTGCAGTATTACTTAAGTGCCTTGTTGCAAACAGGATGCATGTTTTGGAATATTTGTATTCTGTACAAACTTCCTTATTTTCACTTTGTCAATTAGGTTAGTACTGTGGAGTAACTACAATGTTGTAGATCCATCCTCCATTTTCTCCTATAACAGCCACTCCCTCATGGTGAAATCCCTGAGCGGTTTCCTTCCTCTACGGCAATTGAGTTAGGAAGGATGTCTGTATCTTTGTGGTGACTGGGTGTATTGATACACCATCCAAAGTGTAATTAATAACTTCCCCATGCTCAATGGGATATTCAATGTTTTTTTGTTTTTTTTTACCGATCTACCAATAGGTGCCCTGGTCTTTGTGGTTGAATCTGTGTTTTAAATTCACATTCCGACTGAGGGACCGTACAGATAATTGCATGTGTGGGGTACAGAGATGAGGTAGTCATTCAAAAATCATGTTAAATACTATTATTGCACACAGAGTGAGTCCATGCAACTTATGTGACTTATTAAGCAAATTTTGGTAACACTTTATTTCACACCTAGCGTCATAACACGTTATGGTACGGTCATAACCATGTCATAATATGTCATTACAGCTGACAAAACTTGACATTACCTGTCATAATATTGTGATATCACTGTCATGACACATATATTTAGACCTGTTGTGACATATATTGCATTATTTTATAGCTGGTTATGACACCTAAAGAGAGTGTCAAAACCCACAAAACCTACCACACAAGGCAAACCATTCCATTATACCATAGCCTACTTGTAAACAGTTTGATTGTTATATAAAATTTTCTGAAATGTACCATATTAAATTATCATTGTAATTGCGCACACATTGATGTCAGACATGCACCTACCCCAATGCTCTGTTGCTGATGACTGGGATGAATGCAGGAGCTGATTTCAGGAGCAGGACAAGACACCCTCTTTGTGACTGATGACTGACATAAGGGCATGTACATGATAGGCCTATCTGGCTTATGATGGTCATAATGCTTCTTGACAGTGTCATAAAGAGTATTTTCTTAGTCCAAGTCAAATAACAGAGGATGGTCATAATGCTTCATGACAGTGTCATAAAGTATATTTTCTTAGTCCAAGTAAAGTGACACAGGATGGTCATAATGCTTCATGATGACAGTGTCACACAATTTATCCAAAGTGTGGTTAGAAAAACAACAACAACAACGTTCCTGGCAGACATCTCAGCTTGGATGTCAGCCTACCACATTAAGCTTAACCTCAACAAAACAGAGCTGCTCTTCCTCCGGGGAAGGCCTGCTCGCTCCAAGATCTCTCCATCACAGTTGACAACTCCATGGCGACCCCCTCCCAGAGTGAAAAAAACCTTGGCATGACCCTGGACAATACCCTGTCGTTTTCTGCAAACATCAAATCAGTGACTCGCTCCTGCAGGTTCATGCTCTACAACATCCATAGAGTACGACCTTTCCTCACACAGGAAGTGGCGCAGGTCCTAAACCAGGCACTTGTCATCTCCCGTCTAGACTACTGCAACTCTCTGTTGGCTGGGCTCCCTGCTTGTGCCATCAAACCCCTGCAACTTATCCAGAATGCCGCAGCCGCCCTGGTGTTCAAACTTCCTAAGTTCTCAGGACACTCCACTGGCTTCCAGTCGAAGCTCGCATCATCTTCAAGACCCTGGTGCTTGCCTACGGCGCAGCAAAGGGAACTACCCCTCCTTACCTTAAGGCTATGCTCAAACCCTACATCCCAACCCGAGCACGTTTCGTCACTTCTGGTCTCTTTGCCCTCCCACACCTACAGGAGGGCAACTCCCATTCAGCCCAGTCAAAGCTCTTCTGTGTCCTGGCACCCCAATGGTGGAACAAGCTTCCCCTTAAAGTAAGGACAGCAGAGTCCCTGCCCATCTTCCAAAACGTCTGAAACCCTACCTCTTAAATAACTCTCACAGCACCCCCGTTAGATACACATTTAATAAAAAGTAACCCTCTAAAATACAGCGTGGTTCATATGTACTCAAGTAAATACACTTAATACGAGCCATCGTTTGTCAAAAAATAAATAAAACCACTTAAGAGCCAAAACATTTTAACGAAAACACATTTTATCCGAGACGTCATCTTGCCTCATTGACTTACATACAAAGTTAGCTAGCTTACTTTGGCTACATTCATATGAAGGGGAAAATATCACTCCTTTTTCACTGTCAAAACACTTAAATTATCCATCAAAATGACAAGAAAATTCATCACAGTTCAAATAAACATGTTGTCGCTAGATTTAAATGACAAAACCATGCTTACAAACCTGAAAACAGGAAGGAGACACAGACAATTTAACATTTTCCACTGGGCTTCTCTTCTCTTCTTCCAACATATGAGGCACGTGCCTGCAGCTAACAGTTCGAAAGTCTCCCCCTAGTGGTAGCGCTAAGTATACATGCATATTAAATCAAAACCATGGAGGACTACAATAATATTGTTGTGAACAAACAAACGTTGATCCCAAAATATGGAATAAAAATAAATAAAAAACATAGTTCCACTTTGACATTATGGGGTATTATGTGCAGGCCAGTGACTAAAAAAAAACATAATTTAATCTATTTTTAATTCAGGCTGTAACTCGACAAAATGTGGAAAACGTCAAGGGGTGTGAATACTTTCTGAAGGCACTGTAAGTGAATTTGTCAAAATACTTTGGTTCCCTAAAATGGAAGGACTATGTACAAAAAGTGCTGTAAGTTCTAAACGGTTCACCCCATATGGATGAAAATACCCTCAAATTAAATCTGACAGTCTGTATCATTTCAAATCAAGTATTGGAGTACAAAACAACAAAAAATGTGTCACTGCCCATGGGGGTTGCCCCAAACATACTCACTTTTTTATTTTACCGGGCAAGTCAGTTAAGAACAAATTCTTATTTACAATGACGGCCTACACCGGCCAAACCCGGACGACGCTGGATCAATTGTGCGCCACCCTATGGGACTCCCAATCACGGCCGGTTGTGATACAGCCTGGAATCGAACCAGGGGGTCTGTAGTGACGCCTCAAGCACTGAGATGCATTGCCTTAGACCACTGCATCACTTGGGTGCTACTTTATCAAAAACGGATAAAAATATGTATTTCTAATCAAGTGAATTATTTATCTTTAGGCTCCCCCATGGTATATATACAAATGTTTATATATCCAACTTCATTAGATTATATATAACTTTTTCTAAATGACAAATATAAGATCAATGTACCTCAACATAATTTTGTTGGAGTGACTTACCAAGTTGAAATGAGACAGATTAAATGTTTAGTTGAGCAAAAGTTTAGTTGAGCCTCCCCCACTGCAATCTCTTCACTAAATGATTGTGCATAATTGTGTATCAGTGTGGTGAAATTCATCAGCATCCATTGACGACACAATTTGACAGATTTCCATGTTAAAACCTAAAGCATGAAACTATTTTAAGAATCAAAGAAATGCAAAAACATGGATGCCTGTGGATGCCATCATCGAATGATGTGATGTTGCAGTAAGTAGTTTGCTCTCCCCTTTCTCTCCAGGCTTTTTCGTGTTGCTAGCAATGGCAGTGTACACTGGTGTGACGATTAATTACTATGGTAAACGCTATGGCAACTGGAGGTTCTCCTGGTCCTACATCATCGGCTGGGTGTCAGTGGTGCTAACCTTCTTTTCAGGTAAAACCAAGACATCACTGGTCACACTCCCCACATAACATTCAGTTGTGAACAAATGTTTTATTTAAGCAAATGTATTATTAATAGTCAATCCAGGGCCCATATTCACAAAGTGTCTCAGAGCAAATGACTGCTGATATAGGATCAGGTTTGCCCTTTAATCATAATGAATAAAGGGGGCTGATCCTAAATCAGCACTCCTACTCTGAGACGCTTTGTGAATACGGCCCAGGAGTATTATAAAGGAACATTATATTTTTCGTATATTTATTTAACCTTTATTCACCCAGGTAATTCACGTATACTACATTGATTCAAGCCTGAATATGTACAGCTCCTAGTTACTTTAACATGCTTCAATCTCCTTCCTTGCTTTTTTGGAATATATAATTTTTAATGGCAGCTGAATTGTGTTTTATATCGTTTTGGTCTAGGTACTTCTATGTATGTGTGTGTGCGCACAAGTACAACATGATGTCTTTGTCTTTTTTTTATAAAGGTATATTCTATATGTGTGCCTATCGGATGCACGAATGCCCCAGGAACTCAAACTCTCACTAGAAGACTTCAGAAATGATCATCAATATCTTATGATATTGAGAGCCACTGACTTGTGGCTGTTCCCTGAATTTGAAAGTCAAGATGGATCAACCCACTATTTACTTTTGGAACATGGATTATATAATTTTAAATGATATGAATAAAGGACGTTGGGGGTAAACCTGTCTCCTTTTCAATTATTAAATGCTTGTTCTTTTATATTTGCACTGGGCCCATTTTTACACGTCAGACATATTGCCCATTTTGACTCTACAGGTCTGATATGCTATATACAGACAAACTAACCCAGATCTGGTCAAGTTAAGTGATCCAAGTACCTAAAGAAAATGTGACAGATGCACTCTCTCCAGGTATGACAATCCATATTGTGGAATAGCTATAACAACCTAGTTAGCGCTTTAGCAGAGTTGGGGAGGCATCAAGAAATTATACAACACTACTGTCCAGGGTCAGCCTACAGCAGAAAAGCATAGTCTTTTTCATTTGTATATCTTTCAAATTATTTTAGTATAGTATGTATGGGATGCACAATAAGTTGCTATGTTGAACTATGTAAAAATAAAAAATAAATGATGTATGTGTTTGGATCATACACCAATGTTTTGTTCTTGTGGCAGGCATTATTGTACAACATGATGAATTATATTTTGTCCAGACTAACAGGATTAGTTAAGTGGAAGACCCAGATGTAATATAGGCTTACAAGGAAACCAAATATATTGCATGCAAAATGATATAATGGTGCCAGGTAGACATATTCGCAAAACACAAAGGCAGCCCAGTTCCGATAATTTTTCCACTACTTGATCTATTGACCAACCAGATCAGCTCTTTTGCCAATAATTGGGCAAAATATCAGAATTTGGTTGCCTGTGTAAAGGCAGCCATATTGTGTGTGGAATTTGTGTCAAGATGTCACTTCGATTGGTTAAACATCGACTGGGGTTAATTGACGGATGTCAGACATTTTTAGGCCAGCGTTTCTCAAACTCAAACCTGGGGACCCCAAGGGGGTGCACATTTAGTTTTTTGCCCTAGCACTACACAGCTGATTCAAATAGTCAAAGCTTGAGGAAGAGTTGAATATTTGAATCAGCTGTGTAGTGCTAGGGCAAAAACCATTATGTGCACCCCTTGGGGTCCCCAGCACCGAGTTTGAGAAACGCTGGTTTAGGCCTATAGGACCATGTTTTGAGATAAAGGTGTTCGAAAAATTGCCACATATTAAAATTAATATGACATAACATTGTCCTCCGGTATTGCACAATCAAGCTTGTTATTGATGCCAAAAAGTCACTGAAACCTAATGATCTAATAGAACATATGCATTTGCCCGCGCCACTTGTGCGTGATGGTAAACCCTTACACAAAACAAAGATGAATAGCAACAACAACAAAAACTGCTTATTTCCACTAGATTGAATTTGATTTCACTTGTTACCAGATCAATAAATATAGTAACTGCTAAGAAAGACCCGTCGTCTTTGAAGCTAACCGACGTATTACCAAATGCAATGCTGCAAGCCTCTTATCGAACGAAAATAATACGCCACTTACTTTAGAGTGACGCAATGGCTCCCAGGCACCACATTTTACTTGATGAAATTGGCTGTTAGAAGCCGCTTAACCCCACCTTAAGAACGGAACGGATCCTATTGACTATCCGTGCAAAGACGATGTAATTGCCATTTGTTCATTTACTTTCTAATTTTCATCTAAAAGCAACTAGTTACCCTGATGTTCCTTTAAGGCTTGAGGAGGTGCACGTGCATCTGAGGTCTTCTCAATTTAGTCCATACTTTAGCTGGAAAGACTTTGACATTTAAAATACTAGGCCTAATATGCTTTGCAAGTTTTTTTCAGACAGATAATTTGTTCTATAGGCCAATTAAACAAATGTTAATACAAATAGTCTTCTACAGATAGGCAATATGTAAAAAAAAAAAAAATGGCATCAAGAGCATTACCAAAGTGAGCTAAGCCCTTCAAGTCATGTTATATTTACATCACTTCATTCGTCTGTTCACTCTTCCATTTCACTAATTCAACTATCTTATTGTGTGGTTGCCATAAAAGTATACTCTATGACGTATGGACTCTGTGCTCAGAGAAATAAACACAAACTCAAACAGTGTCTCAAGCTGTCACATTTCCAAGTTCTTTAAACTGGTGCTAAATTATATTTGGAGTCATTTGCAAGGTCCACATCCATTTTCCTTATACAAGCTCATGCATATGGAGGACATGTTTTAGATTTGGCGCAGTAATGCACTTTCTTGAGTAATTGAATTCAGTAATTAATTTGTTCTGCCTACCTGATCAAATGGAAATCCTGTCCTCGCGCCCAAGGATTACTACTTCCGCTCTAACATCTCCCCTAATTGCCTAATAGCATTGCAGCGAGAATTCTGCCTGCATTAATACACTTTCACATTAGCCAGCGTGATTGGAAATGTGATGACAACACGATATCAACAAATTAAGGCTTCCGTCGCCTAAATGGCGCAGGAGCACCACTTGTACTCTCCCAGATTTTAATACCAACAATTACAGCCAATTCAGGGCGGAATTAGCAAGTACACCTGTCATCCCCCGCATCAGCGAACCGGGGGATGACTAAGAAAATATAGTAGGAGACAGACAGCCTACTAGGGATTAGGGAAACAACAGGTAGGAACTGTTGCACAAAAAAATCTATATGCTATTCAGATCAGTAAATGTTCGTTTTCTGTCGTATATTTGGGGATGCCAACAGCAATCTCACCTATTGAGGTAATTTAAAAATTATAAAATATTCAACATGTAGAAAGTGAAACGTTATACAAATCACCTCCAGTTGTTAATCATTGGTGTTGCCTAATTGTGTGGCCTATGCCTTGTTATAAACGTTGATGTTGTTTATAAATGTAAATGTAAAATAAACAGGCTTAAAATTGCACCACAGGTGATCTGACAATATAAATAATAGTCGAACGGCCTAAAATAGTCGGAAATGTGTCTATAGTTTATACTCTAATTTCACTGGAAAAGGGGCGAATGAAAGCAAGTTTGATTGAGGTGCAGCAGGGAACGACTGCAGGGCTCCGGCGTGAAGCCTGTTTCAGCACCATGGCGAGCGACCCTCCCTCTCCGTCGTCACCACCATTAATCCATACGCAACTAATTCCATTCTCCGCCCAACCGGCGTGCTATTGGCTGATTACAAATCAATTTTATAATTTGCCACAGTTGCTCCACTTGGATAAATAGTAATCTACCTCCCTCTGAATAAATAGTAGGCTAATCTACCTGGCACCACTCACTGGCTGCCACACAGACGACAATTCTAGCGTTTGAGACTGAGGAGACGGAGGCAAGAAGTTTAGTGCTACCCTTCCCTGGTTTATTAGGGTGCACATAGCATCAACACCACACGGACTCCATTTTGAAGGTGTTTTCAGAGATATAAGATGAATCTGAACTACACGTCCCCCGTGCCTCAGATGCCAGCCCAGAGGTCAACGTCGTTCTTCATCGAAGATATTTTATTACACAAACCCAAGCCCATGAGAGAGGTATTCCACTTGCCGTTCTCAAGCTCTCTGGCTTCCCGGATGCCTCTCCTAGAATATGGATACCCACTTATGCCCACTCCGATACTAGCGCCTCACCCGCACCATCATCTACACAAGCCGGACCATCACCAGTATTTCTTCACTTCTGGTAAGTAGGAAGGTAATGGATTGGTTCATGCTTTCAATGAAGCGAAGGCTGTCAGAGAGTGCAAGGACAGTTAAGACAACTTTGACATTTCATTAGGCCTATAATGATTCCAAAAGGATGTTATTTCATAATGTTGGTGCATGTATAATTTCCATTTTAGTAGCTTACCAATCTTAATAGCCTGACAAAACGATGGAGTTGTCTCGGGCTTTTTGCAACAGGTACATTGGCCTTTTCGCGTGTAAAAGTTGGTACAAAAAAAATCCAACTCAATCAGAAAATAAAAATCCTACTCCATTATATAATGGTGTGCTAAATATAACGAGGCCTAAAGTAATATTCTACAGTGTGAAGAAATTGCATGGAGTATATTTAATTTAACTTAAAACAATTAAACTGTTAATATAATTGTAAAAGTTGTGTTGAACATTTGATTTTGAATGCCTTATATATATTTCACAGGGATGCAAATGCCGGGGTTATTTCAGCATCATCCGGAGTTACCCGGCAAGCATTGCAGACGCAGGAAGGCGAGAACGGTCTTCTCGGATTCGCAACTATCTGGTCTGGAAAAGAGATTTGAGATACAACGGTACCTATCCACACCAGAACGAGTGGAGTTGGCAACAGCGTTAAGTCTCTCGGAAACCCAGGTAAGAAACCTAAACTACATCACACTATCATCATACCTTTCGGGATGGTCGCATTGTGCTGCAAAGCAAGTTTATGAAATATTCCACCTTTGTCACACAGGTGAAAACATGGTTTCAAAACAGAAGGATGAAGCATAAAAAGCAACTGAGGAAAACACAAGACGACCAGAAAAATCCGAATGACTTAGATAGATCCATGGAGAACTCAAGTGAGAGTGAACTCAACGAAAAAAACACAGATGATGTTAACAGTGGAATCGACCCAGACTCATACATGTTAGAGGAAAATGAGGACGATGTTGATATCGAGGATGACATTTGCTCGCCAGAACGTTCACTATAGTGCAAGTGGAAAGTTGTTTTAAAAACAAATAGCCATAACCCAGTGTAAATGTCAATATTTAATTGTGTATTTTAGGCTACATATGAAATGATATATTGCTTTTTTTAAACAAATCAATGACAATAATGCAAAGTATTATTTATTCAAGCGGATATGCGTAATATGTCACACATTCCCTTTAGGCTGTCTATATTTATGTTTTCCGTGGCTGTGTAAAATGCATCATGTCAAACAACTGTACATTGGCCTACAAAATATAATCTGAAGCCATGTTCATTATTAGGATATCATTATTATTATTATTATTATTATTATTATTATTATTATTAATATTATCATCATCGAATCAAACAAAAAACGGACATTTTCATCTTAAGATAGTTTTTGGTGAATGTTTAAAGCCACCAGACGACTTATGCTGACCAATACAGGACCAGTTGATTATTTTGGGAGACAATCTGTCAGAAAATACATTTATATGTTCCTACTTTGATAAACAAAAACAAGTTAGCGCTTAATTTCAGCATGTCACATTTTTACCCTTTCTTTTTGCACTTTCGTTCAGGTAATCGAAATATGTTGCAGCATATGCCTTTTGAAGTGTTATTGCTTTACTATTAAAACGTGCATGATAAAAATAACTAATTGTTTAGCCTGTACCATTTATCATGTACATTTGTTGGTTTATTATCAGGCTAAGGGATTGCAGTTGCATTTTCCTATAAACTTGGATGAATTGACCAATGTTTCAATTTAATGTCATTAATACTTTAGTATTAGTTAATTATTAGTCAATAAATCAATCTTTATAGGACACTGGAGATTTAACTATCTGAATAGATATATTTTTATTTATTTGAAATAGTTTCTTGGAATACAAACTCATAATTAGATTTCGGAAGTATGCTTAAGCCTACTTTTGAAAAGCAATTATAGCCAATGATTATGTCCTGGCAGTCCGATTCTACGACCTCTTTTGTATTTTAATAATATTAATAATAATGATAATGATTTCATAAAAGCCGAATGGTAATAATAATAATGAATTATGGTTATAATAATATGTTTAAGTAGCCTATTATTTTGCATAGACCTTTCAACATTCATATAGCCTACCTTAGGCTTACAGAAAATTATCCGGCCGTATCTAGGTCAGTTGTAATAGCGTTTTACTAACATAACCCACCTTCTTGAAGAACCAGGGCCTCGTTTCCCAGTTGCGATGTAACTTAAGAATGACGATGATCGCCCCGTGTAGCTCAGTTGGTTGAGCATGGCGCTTGCAACGCCAGGGTTGTGGGTTCGATTCCCACGGGGGGCCAGTATGAAGAAAAAAAATGTATGCACTCACTAACTAAGTCGCTCTGGATAAGAGCATCTGCTAAATGACTAAAATGTAAATGTAAAAATCGTAGGCTACCCGATTCATCGTTATTTACGAGCCAACTATTGTTTCCCAAGCATGCGCGTAGAGAGAACGTTCGCTAAGTGCATCATTAGACCATGTGTCGATACTGATAGGCTCGAAAGAAAAGCAGCGCTGCTCTCGGATCAGCTTTCTCCATTCAAATCTTACCTTAACATTATAATTATTCCACATTAATGACGAAGGATCAGCTCCTAGAGAGATATTACCACCTATGGCTGCAAATATTGAGGCGGCTTATTATGCTTACCCAATAATAATGCACTAACTAACATTGCGCACATCTTGTCACACGTCATGAAACGTATTGAGGCTAAAATTACAGACAGTAGCCTATTGGCAAAATATAATTCAATATGATTGAAATGTGAGCCTATTTATCTTTTAACGCAGTCATCTCGGTTTTCACTTGAAGCATCGTTTTATCTTTCACTTGTTTGTAACATTTGAAGCATCGTTTTATCTTTCACTTGTTTGTAACAACTGCAAATACTTTGGCAGCTTTGTATTTGTAGTCAACTTCGTTCTGAAGTTATTGCGGTCAGTCAGACAGATATAAGAATCTTGATTCCATGTTTAGTGGAGATCTTCTGTAAATAAAGTGATGCGGAAGGGCAAAAAAGCACCTAACGATGCACTTTGGCTGCTCTACGAATGGTCTGGATCACTCATAGACGTGCGAAGGTTTTTAATTAAGAGCCACGTTACTAACAAAGGCTCTATTAAACAGCTCGGCTACTAAAGATCCATCGTAAGATGGCCCTAACGATGATCTTAACGCTATGAAGGCTCTGGGAAACGAGGCCATGGACCAGAACCACTACTACCGGAGTCACTTAGCTGTGGAGGAGATGTTAATCGGAGGCTGCCTGTTAAAGTTGCTCATGCTGTGGTAGACGCCTTGGTAGCTGGGACCCCGCTGAGTGAGGAATAAAATAAAGACTTCACCATACTAGAACAAATAGTTGTTGTATGTAACGTGGAGCAGTAGCTGTTCATAAACATTAGTGGTGTATAGTACTTAAGTAACAATAATTGAAAGTACTACTTAAGTAGTTTTTTAGGGAAATGTGCTTTACCTCACTATTTATATTTTTGACAACTTTTACTTTTACTCCACTACATTCCTAAAGAAAATAATGTACTTTCTACTCCATACATTTTCCCTGACACCCAAAAGTACTCACATTTTAAATGCTTAGCAGGACAGGAAAATTGTCTAATTCACGCACTTAAAGAGAACATCCCTGGTCATCCCTACTGCATCTGATCTGTCGGACTCACTAAACACAAATGCTTTGTTTGTAAATTATGTATGTGTGTTGGAGTGTGCCCCTGGCATTCAGTAAATTTAAAAAACAACAAAATCGTGCCTTCTGATTTGCTTAATATAAGGAATTTATATGATTTATACTTTTACTTTTACTTTTGATACTTAAGTATATTTTTGCAATTACATTTACTTTTGATACTTAAGTATATTTAAAACTAAATAATTTTTAACTTTTATAATAATAATAACTTTTACTCAAGTAGGATTTTACTGGGTGACTTTCACTTTTACTTGAGTCATTTTCTATTAAGGTATCTTTACTTTTACTCAAGTATGACAATTGGGTATTTTTTCCACCACTGATAAACATTGTCATGACTTGTATTGAACTTGAGTTAAGCTATTCTTGGTTACTGCTAGGCCTACTGGATCACCAAATGTCTTGAAAGGAGCATAAGAGAAGACGCGCACAAAAGGCTGATGAGGCACACTTGCACCAGTGAGGGGATTCGAATAATCTGTCCCGGGCGCACCGGGTGAAAGTTGATTGCATTCGTTTCGGAACGGGCTGCCTCTCTCTGGCCCACGGCGAAATCGGCTCAAAACAAAAGTGACGTAATTAAGCACAATGATTTATGAGTAGGATTCAGTGTTTTCACATGCAAAAGTGATTGCTTTTGATAAAAACGCTTTATCTGCCTTCCCAATGAAAACTAGTTAGAAAATTAAAACATATGTTTTATGGAAAAGGGATGCTGTATGTTTCCGGATGATGCACCATGCTGCCTTGTTGACAACATGACCAAGCTGTGCAGATTACTGTTCGATTTGAGAAAGGCGCTCCTCCCTCACCGCTTTTGCCCGTTCACGTCAAGGGCCATAGACTGGTGCCCAGCGGCTCAGCACAATAGAATCCGCCCACTGACTCAAGCAGCCGGCTCAAAACATTGGTCTGTCACCAAAAAAATGCGTTCAATGTTAAGCTAAATGGGGACATTTGGAAAAAATTGGGATGCTAAGCAAAATGGAGACATTTGGACAGATATTTAACTCAAATAATGTGTGCACAATGTTGGTGAAATTACAAGTAAACCAACCATTGGTCTTTGCCTCTCCATGGTAGAATATGAACCGAGGCTCCAAGCTAACAAAATTTGACACCCAAGTCAGCTGATTTGTTCAGAGAATTTTATGAACATTTAGTGAATGTTGTAAAACAGATTTTTTTCCTGGAAGTAAGGAAAAATTGCAGGATAAAAGCAAGTAATTCAGTAGCCTACAGTCCAGGAATTTTGTCAACTCTTGCAACACCACTGCTACACTTGAAAACAATATGCATTGATTAATGAAATCTTAGTGTGGCCCATTAGGTCGTTAGGGGTAGCGCCCCACTTGCGATTTGATATTTTTGTATTATTAAAACTATATACACTGCTCAAAAAAATAAAGGGAACACTAAAATAACACATCCTAGATCTGAATGAATGAAATAATCTTATTAAATACTTTTTTCTTTACCTAGTTGAATGTGCTGACAACAAAATCACACAAAACTTATCAATGGAAATCAAATGTATCAACCCATGGAGGTCTGGATTTGGAGTCACCCTCAAAATTAAAGTGGAAAACCACACTACAGGCTGATCCAACTTTGATGTAATGTCCTTAAAACAAGTCAAAATGAGGCTCAGCAGTGTGTGTGGCCTCCATGTGCCTGTATGACCTCCCTACAATGCCTGGGCATGCTCCTGATGAGGTGGCGGATGGTCTCCTGAGGGATCCCCTCCCAGACCTGGACTAAAGCATCCGCCAACTCCTGGACAGTCTGTGGTGCAACGTGGCGTTGGTGGATGGAGCAAGACATGATGTCCCAGATGTGCTCAATTGGATTCAGGTCTGGGGAACGGGCGGGCCAGTCCATAGCATCAATGCCTTCCTCTTGCATGAACTGCTGACACACTCCAGCCACATGAGGTCTAGCATTGTCTTGCGTTAGGAGGAACCCATGGCCAACCGCACCAGCATATGGTCTCACAAGGGGTCTGAGGATCTCATCTCGGTACCTAATGGCAGTCAGGCTACCTCTGACGAGCACATGGAGGGCTGTGCGGCCCCCCAAATAAATGCCACCCCACACCATGACTGACCCACCGCCAAACCGGTCATGCTGGAGGATGTTGCAGGCAGCAGAACGTTCTCCACGGCGTCTCCAGACTCTGTCACGTCTGTCACATGTGCTCAGTGTGAACCTGCTTTCATCTGTGAAGAGCACAGGGCGCCAGTGGTGAATTTGCCAATCTTGGTGTTCTCTGGCAAATGCCAAACGTCCTGCACGGTGTTGGGCTGTAAGCACAACCCCCACCTGTGGACGTCGGGCCCTCATGGAGTCTGTTTCTGACCGTTTGAGCAGACACATGCACATTTGTGGCCTGCTGGAGGTCATTTTGCAGGGCTCTGGCCAGTGCTCCTCCTGCTCCTCCTTGCACAAAGGCGGAGGTAGCAGTCCTGCTGCTGGGTTGTTGCCCTCCTACGGCCTCCTCCACGTCTCCTGATGTACTGGCCTGTCTCCTGGTAGCGCCTCCATGCTCTGGACACTACGCTGACAGACACAGCAAACCTTCTTGCCACAGCTCGCATTGATGTGCCATCCTGGATGAGCTGCACTACCTGAGCCACTTGTGTGGGTTGTAGACTCCGTCTCATGCTACCACTAGAGTGAAAGCACCGCCAGCATTCAAAAGTGACCAAAACATCAGCCAGGAAGCATAGGAACTGAGAAGTGGTCTGTGGTCACCACCTGCAAAACCAGTCCTTTATTGGGGGTGTCTTGCTAATTGCCTATAATTTCCACCTGATGTCTATTCCATTTGCACAACAGCATGTGACATTTATTGTCAATCAGTGTTGCTTCCTAAGTGGACAGTTTGATTTCACAGAAGTGTGATTGACTTGGAGTTACATTGTGGTGTTTAAGTGTTCCCTTTATTTTTTTGAGCAGTGTATATATATAATTCATGGATCATGTTTTAAATGCTCATACGAGTGCAGCGAATGTGTAAATTTTCCTGTTTGCAAAATATATTGTTCACAACAAGCTGTTTTGTTACTTACTACTCTGCCCCTCAGAGACTGCCAGCAAAATCACCTCCATTGGCACATAGGCTGTGCGAACACTGCTTGGATTGTTTAGCAGGATTTCATAGCATAAAATGTAACAGCACAAAGTAAATGGACTGTCCTGGAGCACTCAAATGTGCGCTCAGTCAGAACTTCTGGGTCTGTTCTAGTCTCCTCCCAATGAGTCTCTAGAGACAGATGGCTTACTGCTGCACGTGAGACTAGATCTGCTCTATCAGGTACATATGGCACTAAAGCAAAAAGCAAGTTGTAATGAACTTGTAAATAAATTATTATAACAGTCATGGAAGCCTGTCATAACAGTCATCTACATCCATCAAGAGTCAAAGGACAGTGGGATACAGTCGCTTGAATCTTCTCATCGCGGATCTGGTAGGACAAAAAGCATGAATGTGGCTGGTTAATTTGATTGTTTCCCCCATGGTGTTCATTAGGTTCTACTGTAGGTGGCAGGGCGACATTTTGGGTGGACTAAAATAGCATAAAACAGGGTGTATCACAAAGCATGATCAAATTAATTATCCAGCTACAGTAATTTTGAGAAACATTGAGAAGTAGTTTGGTAGATTTTTTGGTCAAATTAACCAGTTATCTAACTTTGATAAACAGCTGGTAGCTTGATAGCTCCAATGCCAATTTTAAGTCTTTCTAAACTAAGATCTGACTAACTCATCAATATTACGTTATTTCAGAATGAAATTTAACTGGCTAGGCATCATGCTTTGTGACATTATGTTAGCTGTCCCCAGTTGGATAATGTGTTTTCACTTATTGCATCTGCATGCTTGCTGCGTTCTCCCTGGTGCACTCGTTCGTTCGTGAGCTGGCTGCTAGTTCTAAATAGTATAATCTAATCTGTTCAAAACAGTGGCAGCATGTGCAGCAGTGGTCATTCAGTTTTTTACATACAAAAGTGAATTAGGTGTATTTATGCTGTTGTTCAAATGCACAGATCGCTTTATATATCTTCTAAAATAAACTACTGGTAGTTCAAAAACTTGGCATCATATTCTGTCATGCTGCTTTGTTGACAACCCCCCCTTTTGACAATTTTAATTTAAAACAATCACAGTAACATACTTAATTGTTACCCAGAAAGGATTTGATATTGAGATAAAAATGGCTACATTGGACCTTTAACAGAAAAGGATTTGGACAAATTAGGCAACTGGATTTGATAGCTCTTCATTGTATAATGAATGATACACAGAGATGTTACAGTAATAACACGTAGCATGCTTTAATAAAAACACAACAGTAATTGTTGGGAGTTTAAATGACAATATTGAAAATAAGTAACCACTACCCATTTTTAATTTTCTCTGAATATGATAAGAATCAGTAGGGCCTTTGGCGTATTGAATTGTTTTGTTGTTTGTACACATTCTTAGAATATACTCACCTTAGATAATACTCACCGGTAGCATGCAAACACTACCCTTTAGGCCTACAGGTGAGTAAACATAGAAATATAATGATTTCCATTTCTATTTGAGTAACTATGCCAATTTCTTCTGCTATTGCAATGAGTGCTACATTTTTCTTTAGGTATCATCTCTAGTAGAAACATACTTTCTTATCCATTTTATTTTCAGATAATGGACATTCTCCTTTTAACCCAACACCCAGAGAAGCACAAACACCCACACACACACACCAAGGAGTTGCCCCTGGAGCAGATTATGAGTTAAGTGCTTTGCTCAAGGGTGCAATGGCAGGAGATGGCCTGCCACTTGCCACAAGATTTTCCTATCAGACTTGGGATTCGAACTGGCGACCCTCCGGTTGCTGGACCGCCTCTCTAACCTCTAAATCACCTGGCACACCCAAAGTAGTAGTGTAACAAGAGTGAGTGGGTGGATTCCAATCCATAGAGGTCATCCCTGAGACTATCATGGAGAAACTGGCCAGAGCACTGCTCAGGGCACCACTGGGAACACATTGGTTTGATCGGAACATAATGGAACTTCAATGGTCATCGTCCATAGCTCAGTTAGTGAAGTGTGATCATCTATAGCAGGCATGGGAAACTTTGATGGCCACAAAAAAACAGAAGTCATCATGAGGTATCAGTGTCTAGCGGGTCTGCATACCCACATCTATACCCACACATGCAGTCAAAGCCTGCCTTAGCCTTCTGGGCCCTAGCCTTTAAAAGCATGCACGCGTGTACACAAGCACGCATGCATTGCACTCTCACACACACACCATACCCACAAACACCGTACGCACGCACACACACACACGCACGCACGCACACAGGCCAAAATCATCAATACCAGCTATTATTTAACTTATTCAGTCATTTAAATGTGCACCAGGAGGCAGCTCCCCATCAATTTTGAAGGTTTGCATTAACAGGCTCATCCAAACAGGATATGCAGCACTCTCCCGCCCTTTGAAAAGCAAATCATGTCGTTTTCAAAACGTGATGCAGATTTACTGAGAAAATAAAAAGCGTTGAAGAGAATAGGCTGTGCGGAAGGTGATCAATTAAAAGATTAAGCGTTTTGCAACACATGGATGCATCTGCATTTGGGCCTAATAGCGGGGCCATCAGCTCATTTTCAGGGGCCTGCCGCTTACTTAGGCGCTCTCCTCACATCAAAGCGTGCGCGTCTACCCCGGCTATTCCAATCGGCAGAAAGGGATGCTAATTTAGCCCCCTTCATGTGTGGTGGTGAGAGACTCCTTCAATTAACTAGATTTCTATGGCAAAAGAGGGGTGGGGGGAAAGATGCAAAGAGAGTTGGTCTGGATAGGCAGCGTTACTCATTAATTCAAAAGGTCCGGTATTTATTATTACCCCCACGCATCTGAGGCTTAAACACTAAAAACACAGTGCATCAAAGACGCCATGATGGGTTAAATAGAGACTATAATCGAATTAAAATATTACATAGGAGTAAATAGCTCTTTGATAATGATCTGACGGTTCTATTAAAGAAATGGGGGGTGCTTGAGATTTGTTTTATTGGTGGGGAAATCACCACTAGTTTACGGAGCCCTAATCAGGTGGGCTTCAAAGGGTCATCTTTGTTTGACTCATTTGTATCTGTGAAGTAGAGACGGGGGGATACAGGGAGAAAATAATCAGGCACGGAACAAAAAGAGCAGATTATTTCAGATTAACAGCAGCAACCAGGTGCGTGAGAGGGTGAAAGGGGACAAATTGGAAATGTGGATAAAATGCCAACGTGTGAATTACCGACTAGTACCCCCCAAAAATGAGACAATATAGCCAGCAGCACCAAAAGCTTTCTGATTTAATGATGTATTGTTGAATTTACAAAGGATGTTTCAATGTCGAGTGCTATCAAAACAAAAAAGAGAGAAAAGGCAGAGCGCACTGTTTTTAGTGTTTCCATGATGTGTTCTTTGTCATTATGACAATAATTCAACCATTAGGTCTCTACCAATGGTGAATTGACTTGAGCAGCTGTATTAGACATTTTCAGGTCATGTGCACTCAAGTCATGACTCATGAGCAATTGTAAGGCTAAGAATATTACCAGAGAGATATTCAAGGAATTGTGGAATCATTATCAATAGCCAGAACATTATTTATCTGAAATGTGTACAAACATTATAATGTGTACAAACATTTGCATGTTATTAAAACATCAATATATTACCTTATTATCAACTTTGAGCTAAAAAAAAACACGGTTTGGGATTACAGTACCATGTTTGCCTATAGTATAAATTACAGTATGGTATAAGTACCATGTTTACCTATGGTTTAAGTGCATCAAATCATATGAACAAACGTGCAAGGTACATTGAACGACTTCATTAGTCGTAAAAACGCATTCATACAGTAAATGCTTATGTCAGCAACCATATACATACAGGCTACTCTGTAACACGCCAAACTGCAGTTTTTGACACAAGCATTAATGAACGATTGTTGCAATATTTCCCTGCTTATTCCTCCATATTGTCTATTTAGTCCATATACTGCTTTCCCCAAAAGTTGAATGACCGTGTCAGCTGTAAGGGGAAACCTGTTGTTGCGTGACTCCAGTGTGTTGTAAAGTAACTGGGCCGGTGTAGTGTCAGATGGCGTGCACCACCTTGAAGTGGGCCACGGTCTGTTTCTCCTGCTCTTGCCGTTTCCTCAGGGCTTCCAGTGTGGCCAGCTGGGATAGGTCGAAGCCCTCCAGGAGGCGACTGTGGCCCCTGGGGCCCTCCTGGGCCCACTCTGGCTCTCTGGTCTTGAGCTGCAGGGGCTGGGGCGCCACCTTGGGCCGCAGGATGCACCTGGCGCCTCCAGGGCCTGAAACAAAATGCAAATAAAGGTATCATTTTATTTAGCACTGACAGGTATAATGACGATGCAGTATAATACCATTATAATGCATTGTAAGACTGTATGATGCTCTTATAATTTCCTATATCATCCCTCTTGACTAAATAACAGCCACCTTGAGTCAATTGAACTTTGCTTTAAAAACTTAAGATTACATAAAGGCTCATGCTTATAACAAGTAATAAAGCATTATACCTGTAGGCTTTAAGTAAAGTGTTACAGAAGTATAGTTTGGAGATGGAAGGGGAAGGTACACCTGCAAGAGCTGATAAACAACTATGCTTTCATATGGCTGAGTGAACTTGGGGATCCAACTTTGTGACAGAATGTTGACGTGTCCTTAATCGTTCTCAGACTCGCAATCTCAGTGCAGGGGACTAATTCATTATATGTAAATAACAAAAATGGGGACTGGAGGTGCAATACACTCAAGCTGACAGATGATGATGATGATGGACAAATTGACTGAGGAAACCGGGAGGAGATGGATGCACTTGTTGTGAAGCGATGTTCTCTCTCTCTCTGTTTTTTCTTTCTTTCTCTCTCTCTCTCTCTCTGTGTCTCTGTCTCTCCAAGTCGTTTTCTCTCTCACCCCCACTCGCGCTCTCTCTCTGATTCTCTGTCTCTGTCTCTCTATCTCTCTCTGATTCTCTCTCTGTCTCTCTCTCTCTGATTCTCTGTCTGTCTCTCTCTCTCTGATTCTCTGTCTGTCTCTCTCTCTCTACCGCTCTCTCTGATTCTCTTTCGGTCTCACTCTCTGTTACCGTCCTTCTGGGAACCATGTTGTCACTGCCCAATGGGTTCCTGGCATCCGGCAAGAAAGGGAATCCTACTTATCTTCTTGTTCTGCTCGCGGATCACATTTGAATACAGCTTCTGTCGTCTCATTTTCTCGGCCTGGGCCACGTTGTGAAAGAACAGAGCGAGAGAGCAGAGGGGGAGATTACAAAAGAGTGGGTTTAATTAACTGAGCCATTTCTCCCTTAAGGCCCTATTCTCTTTGTGTATACCTCGGCGGAGCCTCTCTACACCGCCCGACAAAACCAAATACAACAAACCATTCAGCGGGCCTATCAACATTTACACATATCATTCACTAATAGGGCCGGCCCTAGAGACAGAGGCAGCCTCAATCTAGTGCAAATTGGCCATACATGCTCACTTTAAACTCTCAGGGATTAACAAAAGATACATCAGACCCCAAATACCACTCAACCTTCCAGGGCTACTCTCATTTGCTTTGTAAATCCAATTTAATCTGTTCAGAATGAGGCAAGTCTTTAATGAGAAACAGGGACAGAGGGGTGGGGGATAATGGAAGCACAAAGAGACTATTGAAGATCATCAGCCAAATAAAATGAACTGGGTAAATGGATTTATGGGCCATCTAATCATTGCTGTTGTCTGTTTTAGACCTACATTTGTTGTTGTTTTATTAAAACAAACACTTGTATTTTTTAAGTGTTAAAGTTAAATAAGTGTTACAAGTTAAACATAGCTCAATCTGTAGCTCAATTGGTAGAGCATGGCGCTTCTAACGCCAGGGTAGTGGGTTCGATCCCCGGGACCACACATATGTAAAAATGTATGCACACATGACTGTAAGTCGCTTTGGATAAAAGCGTCTGCTAAATGGCATATTATTATTATTATTATTAAAAGTTAAATTTCTTCAAATGTTCAATTTAAGATTGCTGAATAAAGTAAAGCATAGAGTACAGGATTGTTGGAAGCCACATGGCCATATTATTAGATGGTATGACTACTGGTTATAAGGTGGGAAGAGGCACTCACTGTAATTTCTGTGGTGGTGTAATCAGGCGAAAGGCCGCCAAGATTCACGTCCTGCTTCAGCTGCTTGTAGTCCTTCAGGGAGGAGGCCTAAGACAATACACGTACATGCACACACACACACACACACACACACAGGTAAATGCTAAATATTACTAGAGAATAGTTATTATACAGGCATGTGATGAGAAAAACACACACACATTAGACTTGGTTCTGGAAATTATTCCTGCCTAAGTACAAAAATATCAAATTTTGCCTTTACACAGGTCGTTCATAAGTGCCTGTATGTTTGTGCCTTTTTGAATAAAAGGGAGTTTGTATTGCACCCTGTGGAGTGGAGTCCCAGGGACAGGTTGACAGAGAGATGCTCTCTCTCCTAGGCAGAGAGAGAGGGTAAGCGCCTTAATCCGCTATGTACGTCTGAGGTGCACTCGAGAAGCAATCCACAAGCTGCCCCAGACAATAGAAGACTAATCATTCCAGATCGGACTGGCTCCTTTTAGGGGCTCAGGCCACTTTGGAATTAGCCATTGGTCATGGACACTGTGGGACAGCTTCTTTTTTTTTTTTTTTTTCTTTCTTTTCAACCCCCTCCCCACCCTCATCCGCTTTCACTTTTGTGATACCCTTCACATTGGGGTGTTTTACAAATCTACCCTGTAATCTTGTCAGACATGATGGCGAACATGGCAAAGTGGGGATACATGGAGAGGAAAGGGGCAGGGGGAGAGGCTAGTGGCAACTGTGGTGTAAAGTGACCTCTAAATACACACACACTGATGGGTTAGGGAAAAAAGCTAGTCAGATCAAAACTTGGCAACCGTAACCATCATAAGAGCATCAGTTACCTATCTATAACCTTTCATAGACTGGCCCTTATTACTGTCACTGGGTTTCCAATCCACGCTTAAATTATGGTAATAATGTGATAAAATAAATTATCTGACTAATTGACACCTTAACAATTATCTGTAGAATATCGATTTAAGTTAGCTACCTACTAAATAAAAAATAGTAGGCTACGTTATAACATTAACTGAGTGTTTTGTCTTAGAAAGTGAATGTCTACTACTCTATGTGGATGTCTGCAGTCTGTGCTACACTACCTTATGGGAGCGGGGCTGACTTTCTCTGTTCCTCAGTGGAACACACCGGCAGGGCTCAAGCTGGTGAACGACAAAGAGGCCGTCATTACATGCAAATGGACATCTTTGCCTCACTTTCTCTCTTTTATTCACCTTATTTTCTAACAACTGGATCCGGCCTGTGAGGATTAAAAAAATAAAACCACTGTGGGGGAGTCAGGGAGTATCAAAAATTAGAAAAACGATGGATAGAGGACTATCTTTTGCTAAATATGACAGCGAAGAAATATAACTAATTTTCAGAGGATATCATCTTTGTTGTCAAAGCACATTGTTTGTGCGACTTGTGTGACTGATTATGCCCTTTGAGATTAGGCAAATGGCTCTCATGTACTGTAATTAGACCGGTAACCGTATTGAGAAATGTAACAATGTCCTGGCTAGTTAGTGTGGCAATTAAAGATTAACACACACACACCCTGTAAGTGACTATCTCATTCAGGTAACCCTCAGAGCTGCTTCTCTGCATAGAGGTAAATCGCTGTGCAGTTCTGTCACTGCCCAGCTCCAGTCGTTGTTTTACCTATAGAGGGCAGCACTGTGTAGGAGCCGGAGGAGTGTTGCGTCTGGGAGGTGTAAGTAGACGTGTGACTATCCTCATCATCATACTGCAGCACAATGTGGTTTTCACGCTGCCATGGGGCGTTCTCCTGGTGCCAGAGGTGCAGTGGTTCTCTGCTGCCTTGGGAGAGAGGGGGCATCCCTGGGAAGCCCTGTCTGCAGCGAGAGCCCCAACCTGGACTTGGTGGAGACACAGCAGCCTGTGGAATCAAAGTGAGCTGTACCGAACCGTCTTGGGGGAAGGAGTGAGTGCTTGGGTGGGAGTCAGGTTTGACGAGGATGGCGTTCCTAAGCGCTACGTTAGCATTAGGCCTGTATCCATCTGTAGACTGGAGCTTCCATTGGGGTCCGGGACCGCTACAGGGTGAGGTTATGGTGAGAACGACATCCTGGTGATTGTGTTGCAGGAAAGGGAGGAGCTCGGATGAGGTGTTGAGGTTGATGTTGAGGTGGACAGTGGGGGGCTGTGTTAAAGGGATGTGTTGGCACTGGTGTGGCCGGGTGTCCAGTATGCTAGACTGGGAGTCTGTGCCACTGTGCCTGGAGGTGGGGTGAATGCTGTGGTTGGTGGTGGGTGTAAGAGTGGGGGAGGGAGTGAGCCTGGATCCTGGCTGCGGGTCTGGGGGTGTCAGTGGCGGGGCTCAGGTAGCAGTCTCTCTGTCTGGCTTTGCCCCCCTGAGTTTGGGATTGACTGTCCACTGAGCTTTCTTGTCTTTGCAGATCTGAGTAACCTGTGAGTAGGGCTTGTAAAAAACAGAACTCACATGTGGAATAACATCACAGCAACCAATAGGCTAAAAGCAATATGATCAGCTCAACAACGACAATAAGGAAAAAATTAAATACTAGTTCAGGGGTAGGTCAATATCAATGATTTAGGAAACGGAGGTCAAATGAGTTGTGAAAATCAGGACTTCCTGCATTTGTTAAAATAATGCTTGATCGATGAGTCCTATGCATCTAACAAGGACCCTATTTGACCAAGGAAAATAGGGTATAATAATCAAATATTTCAAGAACCAGGAGGACGCCAATGTACTGGACATGTTCTTTCATTGATAAAAGCTTTGGAAAGATACAACCTCATAACATACTTCCCATGATTGAGAAAAACCAAAAAAATACTTTAAAAGATTATTTGGAAAAATACAACCTCATAATACACTTCCCATGATTGTGAAAAACAAAAAATACACTTAAAATGATTATTTTAAACATCAGATTTTCAATTTGTGAACAACATAAGAGGGGTATCATCTGTTCCTTAACTCAACGTATCAGTGGGACGACGGATGGAAGATTCCACCCAAAATGCAGAAAAAATACCCCTCTTTCCTTATGTAACTGAAGCTTTGTGGCTATTGTCGTGGCCATGGCCAGAGAGGGCCTTTCATGTAATGTCGGAGCTCCTCTGAGCATGGCCCTCACAAATTATTCTGCCGGGCTCTGAGGCTGTGTGCCTCAGCATCTAATGCCTCTGATTTAGCAAACACCAGCCTTCCCTCATTCTAATGGGAAAATATTTACACTCCTCTCCTCTGCCAAGGCGGCATTAGGGTGACCGCTCAAGTGCTCAAAATAATGATGCTTCTCTCCATTCCCCTTGCTTTTTCCTGCCTGTAGAGGCTCCGTTTCAGGAGTGTTTTCAGGCGAAGGCTCTATTGTGCCTCGACAACTCTATCAGACGGAGATTGGGTCCATCGTGGAGGTAAAATGGAAATCCCAGGTGACAGTATTGCGTCCACTGTGCAGACATTTTCATCTTGACCAGAAAGCCCTTCGCTGGCAGTTATGCGTCATAAGGCAATGAGGTGTTGTCGTAAGCAACGCCCACCAAAAACACACACAGGAGAGAAAATCAACGGGATCATAATGTGAAAAGGAGCGGAGAGGGTCCCACCTTGAGTTGCTGGGTTTTTTGGAGCCACCTCAGCTCTGGGTCTGAATTGTCCTCTTGGCTTTCCTTCTCCTGGCTCCCACCAATGGTAATCTCCTCAGTAGTATCCGAAACCTTTGGATAGAAAAAGATAAAAGATTAAGGAGAGTGGGGCAAAAAGTGTCATTCAAAATTAAAGAGGGGGGAGATTGAAAGACATCAGGTATCTAGATGGGAACATTTTTGTCTGTGCTGTGTAACACTTGTATGAATACATGGTTTGCATAAGAGCAAAGCATATTGGAGGTAAACATTTCAACACACGATAAACTGCGAGTTAATCAATGACAGTCCAGTCAGGTGCACAATACTCAAAACTGCCCAATATATCCCTTATTTTCCTCAAATAATGACAAAAACACTCCAAAGAAAAATACTATTTTGAGAGAAAGCATTTTGAGGCACTAAACTGCAGGCTTAAAATTTGTTACAAGAATACTTTCGCTAACCACCAAACACACTCTACTCTGTCAAATCTGTAGCATAGGCCTAACCTATTTTTTGTTTTGTTTTTTCGAGTAGCCTGCACAACAATCAATTCCCTCACGTTTCGGCCTAAGCTTCCACAAACCCTCACATTATATCCATTCTCCTTCATTTTGTCCTATAATGCACCGTTTTTTGAGAGAGAATGTCTTCAGCTAATGCCGTAATGAAAATCATTTAGTTAACTTGGAGCCCACACCTCGGCATCCCAAGGACAATCTGAGAGGATCGATGGTATTGACAGGCTGAGGAGTTCCTTGTTGAATGGCACTAATTCTGGGAGAGTGAATAGGCGAAGGTCAGAGAGAGTGAGTGGATGGAGTTGTAATATATCCATCAATAAGTATGGTGTCAAACTGTTCTGTCTATCTGCTGAAAGGCCAGGTATGCGGGGAGCTGGGCTGATAACACGATGCAGTGTCCTCCCTATCTGGGCAAGAAGGCTCACAGATGATTGCTAAGTGGCGAAAAAAGCAGAGCCGGTGTTGCAATAAAAAGCAAATGAAAGAAGTAATTGAATGATATTCTATTTTGGTCTGAAGAGGGACATTTTTGTGTTACTATCATGGTGGGATTTGGTGCAGGATACATGTGACGTTATGGCCTATCCTCGAACAGAAACTGGTGCTAAAATGGCTGCCAGCAAATAATCTAGGTGGACCAAACAATCCATAGAAATACATTTCATGAGTAGTAGCCTAACTTCTCAATGTGAAACCAGGGAAAACTAGGCCTATATTGTATCATTTCCATTTCAATGGCAAATGTTTGAAAAACATGTCTATTTAAATACTGATATTTAAAGAGTGGTTTTGTAACCAAGTTAGCTGTTGGTCAATTGGCACATCAAACTCAAGGTGATCCTGACAGTGTCCAGGTGTGACGCTGTTGGAGCAGCAGCTGTTTTGTGTATAGATCAGTAACAGGTGTCAATGATTCCACCACAGACACCATCCACCCATCCACCTCTCTCCCCCCAGCTCTCCCATGGCAAGATGGGCCACAACCTCTGCCCATGCCCCCTGCCACTGCCTTTTATCACCCATTATAAAAATCCCAATCAATTGGAGCCAAATGATCTAAGCCAAATTGCATTTTGAGCATCGTAAGCTGTGTAATATCTATTCTGCTAAATTGGGGTCGTAATTGCCCTCCTCTCGGCGAGATGAGCCACAACAAAGTCCAGGCAATCGCAGCATGCCATTTTACCTCGAGCCGCCCAGGAAATATCAGCTTTTGCAATGAAGACTTCAAAGGGCTGCGGATCTTGGATTGCTATTTGCTTGCTATTGTGGCCAGGCCCAGGCAATCTTGATTAGGTGTTTACACTGAGGTAGGGTACATAGTGGCAGAGAGCCCCCGGGAGGCTTTGGTCTAAAGCTATTAAGAGATTGTACATTATGTCCCATGGCTTTGAAGTGAGGGCCTGAGAGACAGGCGAGGGACTCGGTGGGCTGAGTGCAATAGCTGAAGATTGCTGCTGCTACTTCTGTCTTTATCAAAGGGGGCCACTGCTGGAGCCCATCGTTGCTCCTGCCACTCGCCGGCTACAGAGTTGGCGCATTACAAGATTGTGTACATTTAATAACACTGCTAATTATCGCAGGTTGGTTTCCAACGGTCTCGTCGGTCAAATACCAAATTGGGCCTTTTAAAGAGAGCCCAAGGAGCATGCTTAGCTGGGCTCGGATAATGATGGTAGTGAAACTGATGCGATTTGGCTAGGGAATTGGCCTCTTTTGAAGGATATTGTGGACAAAGAGAAGGAAGCGCAAAATGTGCAGCAGAAGTATCCAAACCTAAAATGATATCAGAACAGAATGAGTAGGCCTGGTAATTGTGACTTGTGTTTGTTCTGCAGTTTTGGCTGTTTGAAGAGTGCACCTCCATCTTCACCGATAGGCTATCCTTCTACAAATTATACAACAACTAAACCTTATACAAATGTTCTAAGAATGTTGGACTGCTTCATTTCATGGTGCTGGGTTTCATCAAGGAGGCAGTAACACCCACAAGCTTGATCATTCTCAAACGAATGCACTAAAATAGGTTTTAGCCTACACTACATGCAAATGGGTGACCAAAACTTTTATCCGAGTAAAATATGTTGTGTGGTTAGTAGTAGCAATGGGAAACTAACAAGCTAAGTCAGAGGAGACTGGCAAAACAGATGGTTTTGGGGAGGGAGAAGGCCTGGCTCTTTTTACTGTACAATGCTAACGGCTCTTGACTATGCTAATCTAGATGATACAAGACATTGTTACAGGCCTAGGGGCTCAGATGGGTAGATGGTAGATGAGGAAAAAGGGTTTGGCGATATAGCTACCAGAGAAGCATATACCCCAGCACAGAGGGAGCAGGTTACTGTCCTCAGCCAATTATGCCCCTGTGCCAGGTGCAGGGGGATATCTAAGAGGCTATTGGTAACCATGCCTCTCTGATGTTCTTAATAGCTACTGTTGTACAGATCAACTCATAATAGGCACTACATAGCCAGACATGGCTCCCTTTCCCTGCTCAGAGTGGATAGCAATTGAAAACAGCATTGCTCCTGCCAAATTAATATTCCAGACTGGGTCAGAGACCGCTGCTGCATATTCTCTTGTTTCCATGTGAGCCGACTGAGAAATGACATATTCATATTTTGGATGATAAAAATGGACGGGCATGAGTCTGGTTAGATAGAAGTTTTTGCCTATTGCTTTCTTTTATTTAAAAAGATATGAGGAGAAACTAGGAAGACATGTTCAAATATTATGATTAAGGAAAGGCAGCCTATCATTTGGCTCATATTTGCCATTGAGAGGATTCAAAAGAGAATCGAAATTTGAAGCTGACTATTGATAATGGCAACATGTTTAATATATAGGAACAGAATGGATACGTTTAGAGAAGGCTATTTCCAAAAAAATCAGACAATCTTCACATCAGAAGAGCGTGAACACTAAGGCGTCTCTGTTGGATCATGTAATGTTAAGACACTGTTTAGCCTTTATCTTCAACAGCCAATTGTTGTTGTTGCCTGAACGAGAGTCTGCTATTCATATATTAATGTTTTATACAGTACCAGTCAAACGTTTGGACACACCTACTCATTCAAGTAGGTTTTTCTTAATTTTTTTACTATTTTCTACATTGTAGGATAATAGTGAAGACATCAAAACTATGAAATAACACATATGGAATCATGTAATAACCAAAAAAGTGTTAAACAAATCAAAATATATTTTATATTTGAGATTCTTCAAATAGCCACCATTTGCCTTGATGACAGCTTTGCACAAAGTCAACCTTTAAACTAACTGTCCAGTGTTTCCAGATTTCTATTAAATATGACTTATAATTAATTACAATATGAGTGAAATAGTCTTCTTAAAAAGCAGCTTCCTGTGTTGGAAAAGTGTGGGCGTATACTGGTCATAAAAAATATTCATGTGAGTAGACCGCTGATTGGCCAGCTCATCCTCCTCAGTGTTTTTTAAAGTGTTTTCTCCAATTTATGCTTTGGCCACAAATGCGAGTATAGGATGAGTCAACAACACTATTTGGGTATGAGTTAACAGAATATGAACTTTTAAAAGTGAGATTTCCCCAGGATAGTTACTTTAAAACTGCAACATTTTCTCTCAGCCTCATGGCATAATGTGTGGAGTTGTCACGATCGTCTTCAAAAGGAGTAGACCAATACGCAGCGTGTTGAGCGAACATGATTGACTTTATTATATTAAAGTGCAAAACCCAAAACAATAGACGATTCGTGAAGTCCACAGTAACAATGACCGTAAAGGAACAAAAACCCACAAACACAAAGTGAAACACAGACAGTTAAGTATGGCTCCCAATCAGAGACAACCAGCACACAGCTGACACTCGTTGCCTCTGATTGGGAGTCATTCATTCAAACATAGAAATGAACCCAACAGAAATACCAACATAGAAATACACCCAATGAATGAACACACCCTGGCTCAACATACAGAGTCCCGGAGCCAGAGCGTGACAGTACCCCCCCCTAAAGGCGCGGACTGCGACCGCGCCTCAATAAGGGCTAAACAAGGGAGGGCTGGGTGGGCATACCTCCTCGGCGGCGGCTCTGGCTCCGGCCTTGCCCACCACCCTCCAATCAACCCCCCATAGCGCCCCTGGTCCGGTCTGACCCCGCTGGCTGGATCTGGACTGGACATAGACGGAGCGGATTGCTTACGCTCCGTTGTGGAGCAGCTGACCGGTCTTACCAGGCTGACGACTCGCACCCCGGCCTTGGTGCGAGTAGCAGGAACGGGCTGAACCAGGCTGACGACTCGCACCCCTGGCTTGGTGCGAGTGGCAGGAACGGGCTAGACCAGGCTGACGACTCGCACCCCTGGCTTGGTGCGAGTGGCAGGAACGGGCTGGACCAGGCTGACGACGCACACCGTAGGCTTGGTGCGTGGAGCAGGGACAGGCCGGGCTGGGCTGACGACGCACACCGTAGGCCTGGTGCGTGGAGCAGGGACAGGCCGGACAGGGCTGGCGACGCACACCGTAGGCTTGGTGCGTGGAGCAGGAACAGGCCGGGCAGGGCTGTCGACGCACACCGTAGGCTTGGTGCGTGGAGCAGGGACAGGCCGGACAGGGCTGGCGACGCACACCGTAGGCTTGGTGCGTGGAGCAGGAACAGGCCGGGCAGGGCTGTCGACGCACACCGTAGGCTTGGTGCGTGGAGCAGGGACAGGCCGGACAGGGCTGGCGACGCACACCGTAGGCTTGGTGCGTGGAGCAGGAACAGGCCGGGCAGGGCTGTCGACGCACACCGTAGGCTTGGTGCGTGGAGCAGGGACAGGCCGGACAGGGCTGGCGACGCACACCGTAGGCTTGGTGCGTGGAGCAGGAACAGGCTGGGCAGGGCTGTCGACGCACACCGTAGGCTTGGTGCGTGGAGCAGGGACAGGCCGGACAGGGCTGGCGACGCACACCGTAGGCTTGGTGCGTGGAGCAGGAACAGGCCGGGCAGGGCTGTCGACGCACACCGTAGACTTGGTGCGTGGAGCAGGAACAGGCCGGACAGGGCTGGCGACGCACACCGTAGGCTTGGTGCGTGGAGCAGGGACAGGCCGGACAGGGCTGGCGACGCACACCGTAGGCTTGGTGCGTGGAGCAGGAACAGGCCGGGCAGGGCTGTCGACGCACACCGTAGGCTTGGTGCGTGGAGCAGGCACAGGCCGGGCAGGGCTGTCGACGCACACCGTAGACTTGGTGCGTGGAGCAGGAACAGGCCGGGCAGGGCTGTCGACGCACACCGTAGACTTGGTGCGTGGAGCAGGAACAGGCCGGGCAGGGCTGTCGACGCACACCGTAGGTTTGGTGCGTGGAGCAGGAACAGGCCGGACCGGGCTGGAGACGCGCACCGTCCATTTGGTGCGAGGGGCCGTAACAGGCCGGACCGTACTGGGGACACACACCACTGGCTCTACTCCGGGAACTGGAACGGGCCGGACCGGACTGGTAACACACCCCAGTACCTCTCGCCGTGCCTCTAAACCTCCTTTCCCTACTTTGACCAGTGGCCCCCGTAACCTGGTGGCCTTTTGAATACGCCCCTTCTCTGCCTCCGTCAGCCCCGTCGTCCATGCCCTGTGCCCCCCCCTAAAAAATTATTGGGGGTGCCTCTCGTCCGTCCGACGATGGCACTGCTGACGCCGCTGCTCCTCTCTCGCCAGGGCCTTGATCCTACCCCAAGGTCCCTTGCCCCCGAGCATGTCCTCCCAGGACCACACTTTGCCCACCTGGGCCATCGCCAGCCTCTCCATCTCCTTTCCCGGCGCTTCCTCCCATGTCCAGTCTGCCTGCTCCTGGACACGCTGCTTGGTCGTTGTATGGTGGGTTTTTCTGTCACGATCGTCTTCAAAAGGAGTAGACCAATACGCAGCGTGTTGAGCGAACATGATTGACTTTATTATATTAAAGTGCAAAACCCAAAACAATAGACGATTCGTGAAGTCCACAGTAACAATGACCGTAAAGGAACAAAAACCCACAAACACAAAGTGAAACACAGACAGTTAAGTATGGCTCCCAATCAGAGACAACCAGCACACAGCTGACACTCGTTGCCTCTGATTGGGAGTCATTCATTCAAACATAGAAATGAACCCAACAGAAATACCAACATAGAAATACACCCAATGAATGAACACACCCTGGCTCAACATACAGAGTCCCGGAGCCAGAGCGTGACAGGAGTAGCAAGAAATTAGCTTTAAAACTGCAACATTTTCTTTCATCCTTATGGAAAAATGTGAAGAATAGCATGAGATGAGCTATAAAACTGCACATTTTTCTCCCCGACCCCCTGTCTATTGTTCGTCCACCCCAATATCTATAACACACTTTCTCCCTTGCCCTATACAGACACAGCACCTTACCACAAGAATTTCAAAATGACTAGTCCAAATTTAAATTTCCACAATAAAAAAATGCCTTAGTGTATGAGTGGTGTGGGACATGGCCTTCACTAATCCAGTGTGAGTGTGAACTATCCTAACCATTTGAAATGATCATTATCCAGTAGCAAATAGCCTAAGTGCGTAATAGGTTACAGTGAACAGTGGGGTTTTATAACTAACAATTTCTCTCTCTATGTATATAATTTTCAACAGTAAAATGTATTTATTCTGTAGGCCTATGAGTAGAATATGACTTGTTCTTCACTATACCGGTGAGATTGTGTGACCTATTGAAATTGTCATTTTATTAAATAAATTTAAATAATTGTCTATTCTTGTGTAAGTGGTGTTTATTTTGCATATCATCATGTCTTGTGCAAAAACAAACTCCCTTTGAGGACAACACCATTTTCTTCTGCTACATCTAAGGGAACTGGAAGCTTGTAAAATGAGAGACATTGGAGACGTTCTCCTTCCATTCGTCGTATGTGTATCTTTGCACCTTCCTGAGGGAAAATATATACATTTCACATGTAAATGGCTGTTGGTTAAGCCATCTCAGCCTGTTTAAATTGGAGTACAGAACAAACCATTAAACATCCTGTTGATTTACACAACACACACTTCAGGTAGTGAGTGGGTTTAATAATAATAATAATATGCCACTTAGCAGACGCTTTTATCCAAAGCGACTTACAGTCATGCGTGCATACATTTTTGTGTATGGGTGGTCCCGGGGATCGAACCCACTACCCTGGCGTTACAAGCGCCGTGCTCTACCAGCTGAGCTACAGAGGACCACAGTTTAGTAGAGATTAGGTGAAAGGAGATGTGAATTTATCACTATGTTTGTGCAGCTCCTAGTGACTAATTTTATAACTGCAACCTATTCAAGGAGAGAGAGGCAAAAAGAATGGCGCAAGGGAGTGAGTGAACAGCAGGAGAGCCCACATGTGGTCTTATTTCTCTTCAACCTAGAATAACTGCATACAAAACCACAAATTCAGAAAACTTGCATGAAAAAACACAGTTTATCTCACCAAATAAATCTACCTGATTTGAGCTATCTGATTTCACCTCCTTCTGTTGTGCATGTGCCCTCAGGTATGAGCCCTCTTTGGCTGTGTTGATCCCCAGTGTCACTCTGTTGCGTTCAATGATGTCCTCCCTTGGGTTGTCCGGCTTTCTGTTGGACAAGTGCCGCGAACCCTTCGATTTAGAGGACGTCGAATTCTGTGACTGTTTCTTGGTTGCTGTCACACTAGCCAATCCATACTGCTCTTGATCATAGTAAATCTGAAACTCTTTATCGTATCTGTCATGTATCTCCCTGTATCGCTCTTCCAGGTCAGGAGAGCTAGCTTGGCTTTCACCACCAGTGGCATTGGTTTGGTTCTTCACACCTCTGCTGGCCTTGACTCTCTGGTGTGGGTTTCTTTCCATGGCTCTTTCAGGTGGCACACCAGGACTTGAGTGGGTAGATTCTGGCAAGCTATCCCCCACAACCTGGTTCTGATGAAGGTTGTGGTAGGAAGACGCAGGTGAACCTCTCTGGTAGCTTGATTCTGCAGTGGATGGAGGTGGTAAGACGTTAGGTGTTGTTTAGACTGAAGTTTGTTACTTGTGATTTCTAGAGTCATTCTCTCTACAAGAGCTGGACTGCAAGCAATGATTAATCTGTATCCTCCTCTTCCTGAAAACTCCTCTCCTCTCTCGCTATGGCTCTCCTCAAATTATTTATCAGAGTTGTGGGATTCTTCCTCGAGTGGAAGTTGTGAGGTCATCTCATCGAACTGTCAAGCTCCCTCAAGATGAATCCTCCAGTTGGGATCGTAGCGCAATTCTGCATAGGTTTCGTCGTAGTGGATCTGTCTGCAAAGTTTGAGAATAGAAGAGTTAGCAGATGATTTACATGCACTACATGACCAAAAGTATGTGGACACCTGCTCGTCGAACATCTCATTCCAAAATCATGGGCATTAATATGGAGTTGGTCCCCCCTTTGCTGCTATAACAGCCTCCACTCTTCTGGGAAGGCTTTCCACTAGATGTTGGAACATTGCTGTGGGGACTTGCTTCCTTTCAGCCACAAGAGCATTAGTGAGGTCGGGCACTGATGTTGGGCAATTAGGCCTGGCTCACATTCGGCGTTCCAATTAATCCCAAAGGTGTTCGATGGGGTTGAGGTCAATGCTCTGTGCAGGCCAGTCAAGTTTTTCCACACCAATCTCGACAAACCATTTGTGTATGGACCTCACCTTGTGCACGGGGGCATTGCATGCTGAAACAGAAAAGGGTCTTCCCCAAACTTTTGCCACAAATTTGGAAGCACAGAAATGTCTGGAATGTCATTGTATGCTGTAGCATTGAGATATCCCTTCACTGGAACTAAGGGGCCTAGCCCAAACCATGAAAAACAGCCCCAGATCATTACTTTACAGTTGGCACTATGCATTGGGGCAGGCATCCGCCAAACCCAGATTCTTCCGACAGACTGCCAGATGGTGAAGTGTGATTCATCACTCCAGAGAGCGCATTTCCACTGCTCTAGAGTCCAATGCCAGTGAGCTTTACACCACTCCAGTCGATACTTGGCATTGTGCATGGTGATCTTAGGCATGGAAACCCATTTCATGAAGCTCCCAATGAACAGTTATTGTGCTGACAATGCTTCCAGAGCCAGTTTGGAACTCGGTAGTGAGTGTTGCAACCGAGGACAGACAATTTTTACGCGCTACGCGCTTCAGCACTCACCGGTCCCATTCTGTGAGCTTGTGTGGCCTACCACTTCGCGGCTGAGCCGTTGTTGCTCCTAGATGTGGCCACTTCACAATAACAGCACTTACAGTTGACCGGGGCAGCTCTAGCAGCACAACATTTTTACGAACTGACTTGTTGGAAAGGTGGCATCCTATGACGGTGCCACGTTGAAAGTCACTGAGCTCTTCAGTAAGGCCATTCTACTGCCAATGTTTGTCTATGGAGATTGCATGGCTGTGTGCTCAATTTTATACAACAGTCAGCAACGGGTGTGGCTGAAATAGCTGAATCCACTAAATTGAAGGGGTGTCCACATACTTTGTATATAACGTAACCTGGGTGTATAACGTAATGTGCTGCACAATTCTATAGACTGAATTCAAAAGTAAGGCCTCATTCTGTCTTAGATTCCACGCACGGGGGCTCCAATATGTCATGACGTGACTTGCATTAATGTGGTGACTCTTATTTATCGAATGAACTAACTATGTTTAATTGTCACTCGATTAAATTAATCATGTAACAATTAACTCATTAGGAATTTGGGGCACCACGCAATAAGTTGTTTAACGAGTTACCATCTCCCGAATTAAACTCATAGAAGATATATATATGTTATATATCGATAACAATCACTATTTAAATCATTACCTCATCAGCCTCATTCTGAATGTTGCATTCTCCTTGAACCTGCAAGAACCCTAACCTCATTGATGAATCCATCAGCAATACACAAATTGGCTTAATTATTTATTTACTAACTAACTAAATAATTACACAGAATACAAACACACACGGTATAGGTTATTGATTACTAACGTAATACAATGAAAACAGGTCCCTAGTGGACTGGACTAACAATAGCATGACTGCTTGGTTAGGGGAAGGAGGGGTCAATAGAAAGAGAGTGAAAGGGAGAAACAGAGATTCAACTTATCGCTCATTCGGATAAGAAATGCAATGCATATTTACGCGTAGCTGTCCTTGATCATCGTCTTTCTCAAAAGGGGTTTGAGTGTCCTGTCCCACTTCGGTGAGACTCGGCTTGTCTTCGAAAGGAATGTTCGTTAGAATAGATACTTCAGATGTACCAACGGTTGTCTGAGATGGGATTGTCCTTCCCAACTCGTGTCTTTAGTGAAAGTTCTAGACTACTTTACATGCCAGCTGCAGACTGGTAATGCTACGGTCTAGTGGGTTTCTTCTTCTTGTGTAGAGATTGAGAGTTTCAGAGTTTCTCACCATTTCAAACGTGTAGACTACCATCTCTCGTTTTCTGGTCTTTCTGGTCGAACCATTTTAAGCCGTGTAGCCACAGCTCCACGCTTCCTGGTCTGTAGCGTTAAAGTTCTAACCATTCTAAACGTGCAGTTGCCACTCTCATGTTTTCTGGTCTGTAGAGTGTCAACCATTTTAAGCCGTGTAGCCACAGCTTCACACTTCCTGGTCTGTAGCGTTAAAGTTCTAACCATTCTAAACGTGCAGTCGCCACTCTCATGTTTTCTGGTCTGTAGAGTGTCAACCATTTTAAGCCGTGTAGCCACAGCTTCACACTTCCTGGTCTAATGTTAAAGTTCTAACCATTCTAAACGTGCAGTCGCCACTCTCATGTTTTCTGGTCTGTAGAGTGTCAACCATTTTAAGCCGTGTAGCCACAGCTTCACACTTCCTGGTCTGTAGCGTTAAAGTTCTAACCATTCTAAACGTGCAGTCGCCACTCTCATGTTTTCTGGTCTGTAGAGTGTCAACCATTTTAAGCCGTGTAGCCACAGCTTCACACTTCCTGGTCTAATGTTAAAGTTCTAACCATTCTAAACGTGCAGTCGCCACTCTCATGTTTTCTGGTCTGTAGAGTGTCAACCATTTTAAGCCGTGTAGCCACAGCTTCACACTTCCTGGTCTAATGTTAAAGTTCTAACCATTCTAAACGTGCAGTCGCCACTCTCACGTTTTCTGGTATAAAGGTTGATTTGTTTTTCAAGGCTTTTTATTCCCTCTGGGTAAAAGGGGCGTTCCATCGTGATGACACGATCTCTGATGTCTCTCGGGGCGTGGCTAGTCACTGTGCATAGTTTATATGAAAAACGATTATCTCATTAGAAGACTAAAATCACATTCCTATCTTCATCAAAATACTCTCATACTTAATCATATATTTTATACAACATTTTCGATGTACACTTGATAGATAGAATATGTACACTTTCCGAGTTACAGTTATTTCTTGATACCATCCTTAATGACATCACAAAATATGACATGATTATTCTTTAGATCCCCACTGACAATTCCAAACATTTGGTGGTCAGGAATAATGTTCCAATGTCCAATCTTTTGACATTAGAGTTTTTAGACGGCAAGAGTCTCTCTGTAACAAAGAGATTTCTTTCTTCCCATACTAGAGACCAAAAGGAGTCATTTTCTGCAAACTATTTATGACCGACTGTTAAGTCATAAAACCGGCCCAACTCCACCTTCTCTCCTGTGGGAGGGGGGGGGGGGGGGTCTGGCTATCTGTCAGCCATTTGCCAAGCTGATCTGGCACCTTGATCCTCACCAAGGAGAGAGTCATGACATTACCAACCTCAATCAGAACACTATAATGGGAAAGCTCAATGTGACAGATTAAAACATAATCAAAGGTACAATAGGCTGGCCTTTGTTGAAATAAAATAGAAATGGAAGATTATTATTGAATTCAAAAGTATTAGGACCAAGTAGGGCACCATCCCTGAAATAAAGATCTTGGGATAACCAGAACACAAGCTTTGAGAGGTCAGAAGTACAAGAGGTGTTACTGTACACCTCAATGATACTGATGGGGTCCTAAAGCAATGAGAGTGAGTCCTACTTTGAACAGACAAGCTGCTGTTTCAAATTGAATTTGACATCAGCACATTATCTGCCTGTATTTATACGTAATCTCCGTATTTTCACCTCCTTATCCACTAATGAGGGAGTGTCTGAAGACTACTACTGGTGAATGGTTCACAAATGGCAATTTTCTGCTGATAAAATGGACTGGAATTGCTACCTAATGTGCCCCTTCTAACGGTGATGAAAAGATCTCATTAAAATAATTAGCAGATTGCCTCTTTGTTGTGCTGCTTTGCAGATGAGGGGAAGCGTACTCCGCATCTCATGATGCCCCTGCGCGGGGCTTCCTAGGTGTAGGGTACTTCACTCAATGAGGCCAAAAGGGTAAGGGATGGCTCAGTAATGACTCAACTGCAACAAGCTGGAGAATGTATTATGGATGCAACACAGCTGGGCGACACCTTCTTTACCGTGCACAAAACAACACCCATTGGCTATTGTATGGCAGCCGAGATACAGACCAGTCACGCAACCACCACCACCATGCACAAAAGGTACTCGGTTGCTTTCAAGAAACAGTGTAGGACTAAAAACTGAACTGTGTGGGAAGTGAAAATAGATTATGTGTTTCTTTATCAGAATTCTAAAGAAATTGCAAGGTAAACATAGAAACATATTTCACTTAATGAATAGAGGTGCTTGAATGGGGACATTAGGGAGGCTTTTGATTGAATGACAAGTAGGCTATACATGGGTGTAAAATGCCCACTGTTGTGAAAGGGGAAGCTTGGCTTTGAGGACAGCGCTGGTGAATGGTGAGGCTATGAGACTATGACACTGGGAAATAGGGACTGTTCTCAGGGCAG